AAAGCCCAAATGTAACACTAGCCCTCTTTATAGGGATTGCATCAAGTTCTTTAAAAGGTCTTATTTTGGCATAAGAGCACCATTCATTTTTCTCTAGCACGCACACTGGAGACATTCTCTTCAGAGAGTACAGGGCCATTTAGTCATGGAAAGCGCCATAAACTTTCCTCTTCGGGCTAAGAAGCTAGAGGTCAGACAGAGAGGGCAAAGAGGAAAGTGGATGTCTTATCACAAAATAATGACCTTAGGGTCCCACTGAGACCTTCTGCAAGTCCTCTCTTGTGAAATGGCACTAATAATGAGAGTTAATGCGCTGAATACATCAGCCAGGGGTGCGATTCCCAAAAGCATCGTTAGCCAACTATGGTCACAATTGCCGTCGTTATCAGCATTCAATGAGTCTATGTTTCCCGAAACCATAGTTCCGACGAACAGAATCACAAAGTTATGTGGTGGAAAGTGGAACAGCCGCTTCAACCAGTGGTTTGAAGCAAAGTTTCTTGTTTGCATGACATGTGGACTTAATAAACCTGTATCTTGAGCAAAATAAGCAAGCTGACATTCAGCACAATTTATATTTTTTTATTTCGAATGTATACAAATATCTTTTAGTTTGTCAAGAGATGAAAAGCCCTGTTTTTTGAAGAGCAAAATAACTGAGAAAAAATTGAATTAGTCCTCAGATGCTAAGTCTATGGAAGCTTGTTTCCGCCACTTAATGAAAAATAAAAAAGGTAATTGCGACTTTTTATCTCACATTTCTGACTTTTTTTCTCACAATTGCGAGATATAAAGTCAGAATTGTGTGATACAAAGTCAGAATTGTGTGTTATAAAGTCAGAATCGTGTGTTATAAAGTCAAAATTGCTAGATATAAAGTCAGAATTGCGAGATACAAAGTTGCAATTGCGAGATATAAAATCGCAATTGTGTGTTATGAAGTCAGAAATGCATGATATAAAGTAGAAATTGCCTGTTGTAAAGTCAGAAGTGTGAGATTGGCCCTGATAACTCATCTCATAACTCATAACTTGAAGATATAAACTCACAATTATGTGTTATAAAGTCAGAATTGCGACTTTATTTCTCAGAATTGCGACTTTATTTCTTTATATATGGATGCTCAAGTTTGACCTGACTCACAAATGTACTCTTATACAACAACTCTTCCTCTTCTCTACTGTGTTCCCGGAGGCGGGGTTTTTGCACATTTTAGGGTTGGTGATGTCACTAACCCGGGAGGAATGTCGTGTAGTCCCCACAAGCCGTTTGTTGTAGTCCTTTTCTTTAAAAGCAAATATCTTCCTTTGCTTTGAACTTTGAGCGTTGTAACTTCGATAATGTTGTTTATGCTCAAACAGCAACATTACACACTAACTAAAGTTAGAAAAGTGAAATCATACTTTACCACCCCTTTAAAGCAATGCTATCATGCTGTAGTTTTGAATACCACATGAACTGTTAAAGGGTTAGTTCACCCAAAAATGAAAATTCTGTCAGTATTTACTCACCCTCATGTTGTTCCAAACCTCTATGTGTTTATTTGTTTTGCTTAACACAAAGGAAGATATTTGGAAGAATGTTTTAATCAAACAGATCTCATTCCCCATTGACTACCATAGTATGTATTTTTTCCTACTATGGTAGTCAATGGGGAATGAGATCTGTTTGATTAAAACATTCTTCCAAATATCTTCCTTTGTGTTCAGCAGAACAAATAAACACATAGAGGTTTGGAACAACATGAGGGTGAGTAAATACTGACAGAATTTTCATTTTTGGGTGAACTAACCCTTTAACATGGTTCGCATATTTGAAAAGGAAATCTAAATTAACAGCCAGTATGCAAAATGCACACAGATTGATCTAACAAAGTGCAGCAATTACCTCTTGATTCATTCATGTATCTAAAACAAATAATGTGCTCATGTATGGACAAGACAAATTAGGAAATGTGGTCTGAAGCAGTCACAAAGCCATGTGGAGGTGTCAAATCACACACGTGTTTATGTAGTGAAGATTAGCTTGCGAGGAGGCTTTGTGGAGGTCACTCTGAGAGTGTTAAATCGTATTAGGCCTAATGCTGTGAAGTGCCCTGCACCGTTTTAACAGACCGAATCCATGTCCGTCGCCTGCTGAGTGCTGTCAATTCTGACCCAAAGCACTTTTTCAAACAACTACATGAGAAATTAGTGCAACGAGAGCTTCAGATGTTCCATTACTCGACTGCAACATGCAACTTTAAGGGCACTTGTCTGCGTTTTTGGTCAGTAGCCATGGCAACTGAATGGAAACTTCACACCTACCTTTAGAAACTTTCAGTAAATATAGCCAGGATGTGCTTTGCCTGTTAACACCTACAAGCATTTAATGCATGATCCACTGCTTTTAAATTATGCAGAAGGGTTGATTAGCATTCAAAGGGGCTGCGGAAAAAAAGGATCTGCAAATATATTACAGCAATCCGGCTTGTGTAATTAATTGGACTAATAAATGCAAAATGTCCCTGCTAGCAATCTCATTAGAATAAATCCAATGAAGATCAGGTTTGGTTGCCTGAGTTTTTCACCAATAAACTTTCATGACTTTTCTAGTAGTTTGTGATTACTCAACAAGGATTTAAAAGAACACAAACAAACAGCAATTTATGAAATATTTCAGAATATTTTCATGTTTTATAACCGAGTATCACTAGAAATATTCAGTACAGAACTTTTCGTAAGATACTATTATTATTATCAAAGTTTTCCTGGAAATCACTCTTATATTTTTAGATTTTCCATATTTTCAGTATGGCATATATCAAAAGCAGAACTCATTTTACTGATGTTTATTTTATTTTTTTTAATTTCTAGGCATTTTTTACACTTTTTTTAGGCAAAACAACATGATAAAATACTGTAATATTAGTAATAGTCAAATAATCAAATTAGACTAAATATTTATTAAATTCAATTCTGCCTGCACATATTCCATAAGCATAACAACAATGCTATACTTCAGAAATCAGCCTACATCTATACAGGTACTTACTAACATTTTAAAATGAACAACTAGTTCTACAGTCAAGAGAGTATGATGTCGTAATAGGCCAGTGGTGAGGAGGGGCACCAGGTTCTATTGTTTAACCAGCTCTTTTTCTGTTTACTTTTCTCATTGAGTTCATGTGAGCCACCCCTGCTCTATTTCTTTCTATCTGACCCTTTTCAGTGGGATTCTTGCTCCCTGAGCTGAAAGATACATTCTTTACGAGAAGTAAGTTAGATAAGTGGGTAAAAATGGACATTCCTTCCATTTCTGTGGAGGTAATAATTAATATGGGTTTTATGGCTGACTGGGATGTTGAGATACCACAGTAGTGAGGTAAAGCTTTGGAAAAACATTTCCGATTATATTAAATGACACCTCCATCTGGTTTAAAGGGATAGTTCACCCAAAAATGAAAATTCTGTCAGTATTTACTCACCCTCATGTTCTTCCAACTCCGTAAGACCTTCGTTCATCTTCAGAACACGAATTAAGATATTTTTGATGAAATCTGAGAGCTGGATCACATCCTCACATACTAGTCCATAGGCTTCTTGAGGGATTGAAACTTGCCGGCCTTGAAAAGTTTTTAAAAACATTGTTAAAATAGTCCAAGGCTCAATCTTAACTTGATGAGAATACTTTTTGTGCGCAAAAACAAACATAAATAACGACTATTCATTTCCTTCTCTTTGCACCTCTAGTCAGTTAAACTAGTGTAATTGCGTAGAGCTACGTCACACGTAGGCTCACTATAGTTGAATAGTTGAAATAAAGTCATTTTATTAGTTTTGTTTTATGCGCACAAAAAGTGTTCTCTTCGTTTGATGAACTTAAGATTAAGCCACTATCGTCACTTGAACTATTTTAACGATGTCTTTAATAACTTTTCGAGGCCAGCAAGTTTCAATCCCTCAAGAAACCTATGGACTAGTATGGAGAAGTGATCCAGCTCTCAGATTTCATCAAAAATATCTTAATTCATGTTCTGAAGATGAATGAAGTTCTTATGGCGTTGGAACAACATGAGGGTGAGTAAATACTGACAGAATTTTCATTTTGGGGGGTGAACTAACACTTTAAGACTGAATTGACTGACAAAACTGCATTGGATTTCTTAGAAATTAACACTGCATTTTTTTTACTATATGTCCGAGTTTTGTTGTACAATCAGTTCCTTGTTTCGCTCAAGGTCATGACATCATCTTGGATTATTTTTAAAGGAATACTATGGGTTAAAATACAAGTTAAGCTTTATTTAAAAGACCTATGACATCCTGCCAATAACCCCAGTAAATCATTCCAACTCATCCCACAGCCTTCCGTGTATCTTGCCCCATAGACTTCCATTGTAAGTGCATTAATATGAGCATGATTTTTTTTTTAAGAACTGAATGATGAGAATTTATGTTATGCCATAATAACTTACCTTAATTTGAATTTAGCCTTTAAGTATCTATCACACCATAAGATGGAAGATTTAAAACCTGTCAGTGGTCTCTAAACACAAAGCATGCATCTGTACAATGTCACCCTTGCGCAATAGTTTTTAGAATTACAATTTTGTCCCTGCAGGGAATGAGGATGTATATTGTACTGGCAAAAAACAACAATACAAATCCTGATTTTTTTTTTTCCATTTGATATTCAGAATTAGAGAAAATGGTGCATTACATTTCAATTGCAAATAAGCTTCCCAAAAGAGTCTCACATCACAACTTTCTTGACAGTAAACCGAATGGAAGTTAACTAACCATAATAGGTTTGTATCCTGAGAGGATCTTTTATGATGCAGAGAGCCTTCTGTGAGGCAGAGAGAGTTGAATGTCACAGAGAGGCAGTTTTTGGAGACAAACATCCTCTACGGTTCTTATTTAATGATGGTGCAAACACTACAGAGAGAAGCTTTTTCTTCTTTTTTTTTTTTACAATGAAATACGGCTATAAAGTAAAATGCAAAACAAGATGTTCACCTGAGGAAAACTTGCTGCCGTAGCTCTCTTTTCTTCCAGTCACTGCACATATATTTGATTTCCCCCTAATGCCGTTGAGGAGAGCTCCAAATTACCCATCAGCAGTTAAACATCTCTTCCTTCACTCCCACGGACCTGCTGCCAGACTACGGCCAGGAAAACCCCTGGGAATGTCTCTGGTTACTCTCTCCTGCCACCGCTACACGGATCACCCCTCTCTCCCTTTTGTAAAGAAAGCACGCCTTTAGTGCCGGTGTGGAAGAACCTGTTCTCCTTGTTCTGTGACAAATGTGAAGGACACTACTTGTGCCATGGACAGCGATATTGAATGCTGCTAATGCGGAACCAACTGGAATACAGAAAGTGCTTTAGAACAAAGAATTGAATGTTGTTTGTGATGGAGAAGTTCAGAAGACCACTGCAAAACCTGGTGACCAGTGGGAAACGCATTGTGTTGTCATCTTGCAATGTGTCTAAACAATAGGCTTTGAGCACTACACCATGCAGGCATCCTTGGAAAGCTCTCCACAGCATCAAATTACATCATGTTGATGGGAGACACTTGAATAAAATGGGGGGCTTGTTCTACAGGAGAACGTTGTGGAGCAAATGAATCAGTTTCTTGTTGTATCCACGTGACTGACTAGAGACCCATTCATTTGAATTTATATAAAGTTCTCTATCAGTACCTGATATGTATTAATAATTTAGTGAATACTAAACTGAGCTCTCTTCCACATCTTATTGCAATTGAGCATACAAATTCACAGAAAATAATCAAAAATGGCGAGTATCCTAGTAAATATAGTCGGTTATGTCTTAAGTGAATGTAACAGTGGAGAAAACGCATTGCGTCTCAGTGTATTAGATCTGTGCATTTGCTCTTAAAGTGACAGCAGCCTAATATTGCTGCTGTCTATGTATTTATTTTTAATCAAACAGCAAAGGACAAAGAAAAATCACTCGCTCCTTTTGCCTGAATGACTTTTGTAACTTTAATAAGGATTAATTAATAATGATGTTTAATTTATACAGTGAAGTCAGTGTTATTTTACATTTGCTTAGTTTATAAAATTTCTGTAACTGAAAACTACTGTTAGACCTACCGGAAAATCCCTGTTTGTTTAATTAGTATCTTTGTTATCTTGCATTTATTTTTGTAATTTGATTATTTGTATATTACTGACTGTTTACTTTTCTAGTTTTCTTTTAAATTTATACTAGTTAGGATAGTAGTTTTAGTTGTGGTATCGAAATTGGAATCGAGTGTGTGTGTATATGTATAAATTATATTATACTGTACATTCTTATTCATGTTCTTCATTTTTCAAATGAAAAACTATTGCTATTGGTTACTACATTATCAGTCGATCTCATGAGGAAATTTGCTACAGGTGTCAAAAAGGGCAAATCTCACCTCTAATGCCTCAGCTGACTTTTATGATACACTTTAACCAAAGTACAGTACGTCACTCTTGGCCAAGGATCAACTAGACAAACATGTTCTTTCTGGGAGGGAGATTTTTGGAAAAGGGCATATTTACATGAGGGTTATTTCACTGGCAGGCTGGCAGAGAGATCAAGCAGAAAAATAAATAGCTACTGAAGGACGAAGTAGACTTTATCATGAGTAAACACTACTGTGCCCCAGTCATGTCTCTTAAATACAGTGTTGCATATGCTCTCCCCTCCAGGCTCGTCAGTCTAGAAGATTCCATAAATTCAACCATTGCCGGCGCTGGCAGGAGAAGGCCTTCCCGAGATGACAGAAGAGGAGGAGTACCGAATGAAAAAGAAGAAAGAGAGCAGAGGGAGGATGAGGATGTGTAGTGTGGTAAGGTAGACAAGTCTAAGCCTGCTCTGAGTTATCTAGCTGACTCCTGATGAGAGACAACTGAGCTAGACCTGTTTCCTCAACCTCAGCCCATCATCAAACTAAAATTGTGTTCCTGAGAAGAAATGTAACCTTAGTGTGTGCTCAGAAAACCTACACAACATTTCTAGAGAGCAGCCATTAGACAGCTATAAAAAGAAACAATAAGTACAGGAGTTTGACTTCTCAACCCAACATACCTTTAGAGAAAAACAGCAAACTGATTTCCTGGTAGTTTTGAATTACAACTGGTTTAAAGCTATGAAAAATATTTGAGTAATGGAAACAAAGTGCTGTAATCGATATTACCCTGACATGGTTTCCGTTGTTTACGATTTGCATGAAATATGATAAGGAGGAAATGAAACCAAATCAACTAAGGGTCACACAAATGATTAATATTATACTTCCGCGTTACAGAAATTTCATCCAAAACAACATGTAGTACGCTAACTGCAGATTTAAGTCCACCTGGCGTAACCTGGGGTTAAATGTTTTTGCACACAAATAAAATGGAATTAAAAAATATTTTATTTATTTATATATACACTTGTCCTCACCAAGACACAATATCATGCATTCGATGGCATTTAAATGCATAAATGTCCCTCATATGGATGAAAAAATGTGATTGAAATTGAAACGGCCAAATTATTGGAGTTATCTAAAATAATCGTTTTTAGATTGACATAACTAGGTAGGCTAATAGCTAACAACCACTATCAGACCGATTAATCAATAATCGTGACAGGCCTTGTTGTATTTTTTTTTATTAATTGTTATATAGGTAGCAAAATTAAGCCAAATTACGAATACAACTGATCCTTTGTGTTAGCAACCTAGCACTATTAGCCAACCTAATTATGTCAGCCACAAAAAAACAACCACTGCATTCTTCTTTCTCAATACACAATAGATCTCACCTACAAATGTTCTTAACTGAAACTTGATATAAACATCGGCTGTCAAGACTATTTTACACTGTTCTTTTTGCCATCAAACTTTAACAAAACCTCTAAGCAAAAAAGGTTCACAATGGTAGTGAAGGTGAAACTGATCGCTGGATATACATGATAGTGCCAATAAAATGTTCGCACTGTCAGTGAAACCAAAAGATTGTTGTGAAACCACTTTGCAAGAGCACAATCAGCACTTGGTTTGTTTAGTGTGATATCAAAAGAATCGGCAAAGCTACTGTGTTTGCTTGAAAGTGAACATAGTCCATTTTAATGACGTCCTCATCATTTTGGTCAGAGGTAACGTGTTGCAGGATCAGAGCTTCTATTTGTTGTCCGAAGCCACAAATCTTTAATTACACCGACAGACACTTCTCTCGAAGGATAAAAGGATCTAAAGGTAAAATCTCAGTGGTAGTGTGAGCGTGTGTGATGTTGTCCTGAGAAAGAAAGCTGACTAATCCGACTTTCTACGCAGTGTCAGATGAGCAACTGGGGCAGAGGTGAAGAGAAGGAAAAAAGCATCAGGATGATTACAAACATGATTAGTTCATTTTCCATGTGGCTGGAGGTATCTACAGAATGTAGTTATGAGCAACCTGAAATTACTTGTTGGGGAAGCAACTTTGAAATGCTATCTACTCATAAAGTCTTACTAAAGACTAAAAGTAGAAACTTTTAATTAACTAAACTCCACAGATTTTTAATATTTTTTAAACATTCATTTGAGCGAGATTGAAAAAAAAAAATCTATTTTATAGCAAAATATTGCAATATTTCAGAAGACTGATGTGCTGTTTTGCTGCACTTTTACTGGTAACTGGATAAGCTACAGTATTTTGAAAATAGATAAACTACTGTCAACTGTTGCTACTTCAGTTATTTATTTCATTATTTCCCAAAATGCTACTGAGGTTTACAGGTTTCAGTGACGCAAAGCAAGTATTAAAAAACAACAAGCATAAACAGATGAAGTGATGGCATGCTAATGAACGGTTTAGATGTTGAGCCAAAGCCCTGCAGGACTAGCGAGGTGTAGTTTCTGATACTGTTGAATGATGCCTTCCTTGCTGCACACCTGCTCTCCTAATGCTTACACCAAATTAGTATGATACAAAAGTTTGGGGTCCAAAACCACACCTTCAAAACACATGAATGCTGCACAACAGAGTCTGCAAAGAGGCTGCGTTAAATTACCTCATGTCTTAAAGCTCATACAATTACAATAATAATGACCATGAACAACGAACAGAGCTCTAGTTGTTCCACCTGACTGCTGCAGATTCATTTCGCCGTTGATTGTGTTGACATAGAAATGCAAAAATGAAGTCTGAGGACATGAACAGCTCCGGGTAGAACACAGGTTGCCATTTCGTAATTACGGTTATGACATGGTGTGACGCTCCTAGAGGGCCACTGTCCTGCAAAATTTAGCTCCAACCCCAATTAACCATACCTGGTCCAGCTACTCAAGGTCTCACTAGGCATTCTAGAAACTTCCAGGCAGGTGTGTTGAGGCAAGCTGAAGCTAAACTCTGCAGGACAGCGGCTCTCCAGGACTGAGTTTGGACACCCCTGGGTTAGGACATGGCGTAAACGCAGCATAAGCTCATTGCTTTGGTACAGGAGGAAAAGTAAAAGGCAGCTGCTGTTCGTTTGTGGCACTCTGTGACTGACTGTATACAACTTTGCATAGCCTTATGGAAAGCGCTGATAACGTGTGATGTCTGCGTGAGCAGGGTGTTTTTGAGGTATGGAAATACATGTTGACTGGCAGGAAGGACATTGTGTCATTGCATTCAGACCGAATTTGCCTACTCTAAATGATTCTTCAGAAATCATTCTAATTTGCTGATTTGATACTCAAGAAAGATTTCTTATAAATATCAATGTTGAAAACTGTGATCCATGGATAAAAAAACAAAAATCCTAATTTGCACCACATGTGTCATTCAGAAGAATTGCAAAAACAAAAAAAACACTTTTCAAACATGTTTCAAACACTCCTCTTGGCTTAGATTACGTCAGATAAATAGTTCCACCCCAAATTCACGCCATTGGTTGAGCTAATGTTATTATGTCTTCCCCAGAATAGCAGAGCAGTTACGTACTTAACCATGATATATTCAGCAGTGCAGGTCAAGGATGGTATGACAGTTTGTGCCAGATTCTTCGCCTGGACATGAGCTTCTGCATCTCATTTGACAGCTGTCATGTATGTTTGCTGCAAAATCAGAACAGCTGAAACCCCTAAAAAGAAATAACCTAACCCAGTGGCTTTTTTGGGTTGCTCTGTTTGAATGCACTAAGAACATTCAGTGAATTGCACAAGAAGCAATCCATTGACAGCCGTCCAACCACCTTGTCTAAAAGCCAACCTAAGTGCAGTTTTATGTTGTTAGACACCCCGTTTGTACATTCTGCAACTGAAAGGAGATGTGAGACCTGCGGAGGAGCTTCACGCCCTCTGACCAGCTCCACTTGAGAGCCACTCCCACAATGGGCAGTGACTCCATAGGTCAGGGGTCCTATTATGGCCCCTGGTTTCCAAGGTTACTGCCTAGCAGAGAAGAACGCTACTCAGTTCCCTTTTGTCCCTAAATTCAGGGCATCAAAAGCAGAGCTGGAGTCGAGAGTAAGGGCTCCCACCCAAACATTTCAAAACAGTCGCCCGCAAATACATCGCACACTGCAGAGGGAGTGAGATTGGGGTCCAAGTGCTACGCGACCACCAAGGCAGATGACAGGAACGGGCAGCCTGCACTCCAGCTATGCAAATTGCCCTTTTATGGTTTGTGGCAACCTATTAAGTGCTGAGAAAACTTCTTAGTGACCTTACTCTAATGAAACTGACCTGCTAGGAATGCATTGCAATTGTTTTTCAAACAAGAGCGCACCAGTCTGTAAGCATGTACAGTTTCTGAAAAGATAACGACTTGCTACATGACTTAAAAAATAATGTTATATAAGAATTATGTTTATTTTAAGCAGATATACGACATGAATTGTGTGTTTGTGTGTATATAAATCTTATTACATTATCTGTTATTGTCCAATTATGCTGTAGCCTACTATTAGCCTATATGAGATGTTCTAACACTACGCTTAGTATGTGAAATTCTTTTGCAGCTCTTCAGTATAGTAACCTGAAAGACACGTAAACTCCGATTATATATGCACAGACATATATATATATAGGCCTACTCTCTCTATATATATAATAAAGATCAACGATGTGCATCATCAAGCTGTGCATACAGGCTATGAGGCGGGCTATATAGATAGAGACACTGCAGCAAGTGCAAACACACTCTTAAATCACAGCCGAACTCACCATAATTGATCGCGCTCAGTCACAAGACAAATAAGACTGACGTCTGGATCGCAAGAGATTTTTTTGATTGCTTTAGAAAGAAACAATAGAGAGATATTCCTTGGCGCGATGGTGATCTGTAGAGACGCGGCGAAGATGATCTGATATCGGAGTCCTTCACAGTAATGTTGCGCTTCGGTTTCCCTCTCTGAGATTTAAACTAATCTACACTGGAGAGGCTAGAGTTATTTATCACAGCGACTCTACAGCGACACCTGGAGATTACATAAAGCAGTTACTGGATGTTTCTTTCTTTCTTTCTTTCTTTCTTTCTTTCTTTCTTTCTTTCTTTCTTTCTTTCTTTCTTTCTTTCTTTCTTTCTTTCTTTCTTTCTTTCTTTCTTTCTTTCTTTCTTTCTTTCTTTCTTTCTTTCTTTCTTTCTTTCTTTCTTTCTTTCTTTCTTCTTTCTTTCTTTCTTTCTTTCTTTCTTTCTTTCTTTCTTTCTTTCTTTCTTCTTATCTAAATTATCAACTTAGATAATTTATGTGGTTCAGATAACATTTAGTTTGTGATTATTAAATCAATCTCCTTCATTGTATTAACTCAATATTTCAATTTCAATTAACTTAAAGTTTTAAGGCAACCACTTCATTTTTTTAGTTAAACCTACAATATTTACTGCGTGATACAGCATCATGACGTTACTGCAGTCTTCGGTGTCACACGATCCTTCAGATATCATTCTAGGATTTGCTTTTGTGCTCAAAAAACATTTCATATTTTTTTATCAGTGTTGAAAACAGTTGTGCTGCTTAATATCTTTTGACGAAAACATTCGTGACGTCATGACGTATACATTCATGGTCCTTTGATGATCAGGATTTATGTGAAATAGTAATGTACAATGTGAAAGTTTATGCATCCTAAAAGTATGAATTAAACTTACTTACTTACTTTAGTATAAAAAGGTAGACCCAGTATGGTGTGTCCTCCATTTTTGCTGTTTATCTGGATATGTAATTTGGAGCACAAATGAGAGCTGCATCAGCTTTATAAATTTTTTATAGGGATAATGCACTTCCGATGGGAACAAACAGAGACATGAGCCCCCAGACCTTGTTATACTGAGTACGACTGACAGAGGCCTGTCATTACTGCTCTCTGATGAGTGACTCTATAGCCTCCGGGCACACACCTGAGTGCACACTAAACTTTCTGCCCTTTGAGGATAGAAAACATGTCCTGAGTGCTTTCATTTAAGGAACAGTAAATGAGTGAAAGGAGATCAGCTACTGGGGAATCTGGTTTGTTACGATTAAAACACCTCCAGTCAAAGTTGAAATGTAATTTATTTCAGGTGAGGACAAAGCTGTATTTTCAGCATCAATACTTCAGTCTTCAGTGTCACATGATCCTTCAGAAATCATTCTAATATGCTGAAATTTAGCTTTTTAACTTACTGAAGTTCAGCAACTTTCATTTACAATGTATTAAAGTACTGTATCTACTGTATCTAAGTACCTATGCAAGAAAATTATTAATTATGAATATCAATACTTGGTTTAACGGGCTGTAATACCAGTGGTTGGTTGTGATACAAACACATTGCTTTTGCGGATTCAGCATCTGTCCTGTGTTTGCAACATCACAAGTCGCCCTCTGATTGTAATGTTAAAGCTGTGATATATATTTCTGGGATTTAGTTTGATTCAGTGACAATGTCACAAACAATGGCTTTATAAAGTCAGATTATACAAGGAGTAGTTTATAAAGAACAGAGAAAACAGAAGCTCTCATTATACTGTGTTTTATTTTCATAGTATAAAACAGGTACAGAATTCAAAACTGCACTTTATTAGAAATGTGTAAATAGCCTAGTAGCCTATGTTGTTAAATAGACTCTAAAAAGACTCTAGACCCTCTTTTTTATTTATCCTATGCCAGCATTTCTATAGTTGCATGTTTGGTTGTCATATTGTAATTTTGTGCTCAGAATCAGATAATATCTATTCTCACATTTCCAACCCCATTTGCTTTCTTGCAGCAGGGTCAGTGAAACCGTGCACATACTGTGTAATTTAAGCACTATTACCGCTTTGCCCTGTTGCATCTGCGGACTGTAATTTTTATGATAGCCTACTGCTAGAAAACACTTTTATTCAGAAATATGTTTAAATGGAATATTTCAGAATGCATCACCCGAATGTATCTTAGATTGTGTCAAGTTAAAATGTTTTATAATAATTTACATTTTATGGATTGTGAAATTGACCTTGTTGTTTGCCAAAAAACTGTTGCATCTGGCTTGCGTCTACACAGAAATAAGAATGCAGTCTTCTGTGAGGATCACTCTTGTTTACAGCCGTTTAGTAGTGCATGTTATGACTAAGAAAGAATATTTTCAGGTTTCTGTGGGACTTCTCTGACGGGCTTCGTGGTTTCTTTTAGGCTTGGTGTTGGCTCGTGCTGACTGCACTTTAACAGATGCAGACCGTGAACCCTGTAGGTTCTGAGCTGTGCAGGTGTATGTTCCTTGGTCAACCTCTCTGACTTCATCCACCAGCAGTACCGACTGAGTTCTCTGTCGGTTCTGCCCGTCCACCTGCGCTGTCTGCACACTGTCCTGGGTGTACATCGGACGCCCAATCTGATAATGAAAAATAAAAAGAATCATTTAATAAATATTTTAAATAATGGGTTTAAAATTTCATTTATTTTTTATTTAATTTACAACATTTTGCTGTATCAAATTTGATTGCACACAAAAAGTATGATGAAGAGTCATCATAATGTAAAACACATTGTACACAATCTATTACTTGCCTTCTGTCATATGACCAGTAAACTATACTTTTATTTTAAGCAAGTAAAAGTTTTAACTTTTTAGTATAGTTCTAAAGAAATCCCAATTCAGGCATCAGTCTTATTGCTGTGAAATCTAATAGATTAAACATAAGAATAACTTTTATATGGTTAGTAATATTGCAGGGTGAAGACTTCCTGGATTGAAGCATCTGAAGTTAATTTCATCATGTTGAAATGTATCAAAATATGATGCATATGATGCTTTTGAGGAACATTTGTACGCCTCAATAATCATTGTATTGCATTGCATTATATAGCTTTTAAACTAAAAGCATTTAAAAATCATCTTATTAAGACTTATTAGAGTGATAACTGAACGAAATGTATTTATGTATGCATTTCATGAAAGTAAAGTCTGATACTGTATATCCCATATGGTGTTGCCCCCAGGCAACATAGTCTATTTTAGATTTTTTTTTTTTTTTTTTTCAATAAAAACTCAATACAATTTAATTGGTCAATGCTCTCTAAGGGGAAGGGAATTCAAATACTAACAAATGAAAATGCATAAGAGTGGCCACATGACCCACAGGGGTCCATTTTGTTCCCTCTTTCAGCACATGTGCACGTCACATGCCTCCATAAATTCTCCACTGAAAAGGAGATTTTTCACTAATTTCTGTCCAGATAATCAGATACAAAAAATCAGAGTCACGTTCATTGGTAAGTAAAGAAGTATTTTTAAAAACTTTAGATTATATATCATCAAATGATTCATTAGAAATTACATTAAACTGCATGTTGCCTCGAGGAATCACATAAGGCCATACCAGGCATAATACAAGTATAGTTTAATTGTGAGGAAAAAAGTTTGAATTATTTAAATGTATTTACATTTTTGTGAACTTAAAACTCAGCATTGTTCAACAGGACATTTGGCTACTATAGTCGGTAATCGGACAAATAGTGGGTTTGTGGGAAGATGGTGTGGCTAGGGACTGGTCAGCGGGGGTCGATGGGTCATTTGGCCTCTATAGTGGGTAATCGGACAAATAGTGGGTTCGTGGCTTGGGACCGGTCAGGGGGGGTTACCTGGACATTTGGCCACTATAGAGGGTAATCGGACAAATAGGGGGTTCGTGGGATGGGACATGGCTTGGGACTGGTCAGTGGGGGTTGACGGTTCATTTGTTCAAGCGTTTAGTTAAAGAAATTGATGTTTACAATAAACAAAAAATTTTATTCATGAAAATGTCAAATGTTTCAATTTGTCCATTGCGGTACAATGTTGCCTTGAGGCAAAAAACTTTTAATTAATAAATACATTAAAAATAATGATAATGTTTATTGATAATGTTATAGTGTTCGATTTTAAGCAGGAAAAACATAATAAATCATTTTTTCCTCACTGATATCATATTGCGTACCATATAAAGATCTTACTAATATACATTACAATAATAATTTAATTAGACTTTTTTTTTGGCCATATAAATATCAGCAGAAGCTATACCTATAATTGCATATTTTTGCTCAGTTTGGGCTTCTTATTAAATTTAAGGTGTTTTTTTTCCACTCCTATGTATTATATATTTTGTCTAAAAGTTCTATAAACTTCTTTTTTTCTGAAAATATCAGGCTTTATATGGTTTATTTAAAAAAATCTCTGTTTTTGTATTCAAAAAAATATTAAAAACATTATTAAATTTGTGAGGCTGCGTGTACTTATTGGGTATACTTATTATCTAACCTTTTGTCCAGGATATTCCCAGGTTAAATCCACCACCACGTCCTGCTCTCCCACAACTGTGCATGTCACCTGGAGATTCTGTCCCACCGCCACAGTGTCAGAGGAGGTCTGGATCGCAGGAGACGGAGGGGCGGCTGGATCTGCCAGGGTATATACAGTACAGGCATTTTGAAATAATTTCAGCAATCTGATTTATATAGTCACATGCTATGTACGGCATTAAAAAAAATCTCACAGTTGACATAGATGAGCATGTACTTGGTTGAGCTCTGGCGAAGGTTCCCCAGGCTTGCCACACAGTAGAGAGAACCAGCATGATACTGTTTCGGCCTGTGAATGGTGAAGCCCTTCTTAATGTCAAAGGAGATCTCTCGTCCATCCACATTCACCTCCATTGGAGGAAATTCCCGGTGTAAATTCACCTTTGCTAGCGGAGAAGTCACCTGACAGGGCAGGACGGTGGGCCAGTTAGTGCGAAGCTGAATGACCTCGTAATAATCAGAGGAAGGTACAAACAACTCCTGAGGGTCTAAGAGAGAAATACCAAAGGACAAATGTCATCTCTGTGCTGATCAATTTATTGATAACTGAGATCAAACATAGCACGAGTTGAGGAAAAATGTGAAAACACCGCAGGCAAAATAAAATATTTAACATGCAAGTTTAATATGGATGTAGGCTACTAAAAGCTGGAATACACGACACAACTTTTAAAATCTGACTCAGTTTGAGTTTGTGGGGGGCAAACCACAATAGGTTCCCTATAAAATTCTCTATAAAATAGGCCTACTAGTAAAATTTGCATAATTCATCACATTGCATTCATATTACCAGAGAAAAAGATGAAGACTTTGATGCCTTTGTCATATTGTTTTCTGCAGTCTTTCTCCTCACAGTACATGGGATAGCAGGTGTACTCCCCTGTATCTGCTGCTGTTGCATTTGCCAAAATCAGTGTGCCATAACGTTCATGTTGAACTGTCCTAAAAATGCAGACAGAAAATAAAAGCGAAACAGCAATTGATTCATTTAACTAAACTAATACAATCGAATGTGATCACATATTGTCACTGTTAACTCATACCTGAGTCGTCCTTCATCATCCTCTTCCAGATATGCAGGAACAGCCCATTGGACAGGATTACCTTTACACCTCAGTTCTAACGCATTACCTGCCTGGACAGTCAACGTGTCGCCCACTTTCTGAAACCTTCCCTTGTTTACCACCTGGGTGAGGTACGTCTGGGCTTCTTTAGGGGTGTTTTTCACTTTAGGTTTGGAAGTGGTTGATTTTCCTGTCCCCTTCACAGTCTTGGACTTTACATTTGGTCTCTTCTCAGCTTTGGTCTTCGGGTCAGGTTCAACCTTTTGGCACATGCCTGTTTTTTATGTGACAAACCATTCTGAAACACTATTGAAATGTAACTTTAACCAGTATTTTTTTTATATAAAGCACATTTACAAAAGCTACTAAATGTCTGTGAAACCAGGCCTTAGGCTTAGAGTATTAGTTGACTGTTAGGTTACATTTAGGTTTTGTGTTAGCAGAATAAATTGAGTTACTTATAGAACGTTTATTGTGGAGCATCAAAATAGCAGGTTAGCAGATATTAAGCAGACAGTCTACTAATACTCTAATCACATATAGTTGCAGGGTTACCTGAAGTAAAATGTCTAAAATGGTCTATTGAAATAGTGTTACTAAAAACAGCAAAAACTACTTATGCTGACACCTAGTGGTGTGGATACAGCATTATGCACTGCAAAAGTTTTCAGTTATTACTACTATGCTACTAAAATTATTCTCTCTCTGTGTGTGTGTATGTGTACATGATTTTAATTCTCATATCATGTGTAAACAGGGTAAAACTTGCTGAGTGCACCAAAAAAATTATTTTATATGCAACTTTAAGTGTTTTACATGCATTGCTTTTAATGTACAGTTAAATGTTTTCCTCCATCTCTTTTTGTAACTTAAATCCATATTTAATGTACAATGTGTCCTCTTAAGAGGTAAGATACTCACCAAACTGAATGATCAAAAGAGAAACAAGAAAAGCAAATAGCACCTCCCTCCACTTCATGGCGGAGAATATTGACAGCAACCACAAACAAACTTTAGTTCACTTTATATGTTCCCAGATCTTGAGCATACATGCAGAGAAGGGAAAATTCGAAAGGTAGCGGTAGAGGAGGAACCGAGTGAGTGAGGGGTCAGATGTTTATGAGAGTCGCATGAACACCCTAAATTCCTCTGGTCACACTCAATGGATCCTTTCTGTGTTCATTCTACCAATCAGGGCCTGAGGAGAACTGGCCATCCAACTGAAAAAGCAGACAATGTTTATTTAGCTGTAAAAACTCAGAGCAATGGTCAGCCATCAGTATAAGGTTTGCTAGCTCTTAAAATATACAAGAAAATATACAGTATGTTGCTGCGAATGACTACATTGTAAATATAGAATTGATCCACACATATTGCGAATCGGTGCATAAATGCAATGGCACTACAAATGACACAGCAAAGTATGGGCCTATAAACTCATTGCCCGGACTTTGCTGGCGCAGAATTTAACCGTTTTCTAAGCTTTTCTGTTTGATTTAATAATCTGATTAGTGTGCCACAGGTAGGATTTTGTGAATGGTACTATTGTTCTTTTGCGCCTTCAGATTTGAAAGTAAGATCAAAGTCCCTTACATCAGTTCACTCAGCAACTCCTCTAAGCAGCAATTTTCTAGTTATGCAAGTACAAGTTAAACAAGGAGAGGCTGAAATCTCCAAAACTGTTTGCCAAGCTTACATACTGTTACATGCATCAACATTAACAACAAAATCTGACAATGTTAATGCCATAAATGTTTTTTATTTTACTCAAATCATTTTTTCATGACTGATGCATTCTCCCTGAAACATACATTACTAATCAAATGTTTGGGCTCAGTTATGATTTTTTGTTATGAAAGTAGAGTAATGTATAAAGAAAAGTTTTTCCTTTGCTTTTTTCACGTACAGGCAACAACGATCCACGCTCACACGGATCCATGAAAATGACTAAAAATGCTGTATTATGTGCGGCCAGGCCAGTAGTTGGCGACGTCACTTGTAAAGAAACACTACCTGCCTGAACATGAGCACCACCAGTTTCACAAATTCACGGTATAGTTGTAAAAATCTTACTCTTTGAATCCTGTTTTCAAAAGTTTTGCATTTTCAGGCCCATTTCGAACGCAGCCCTAATGTGTTAATGGTTAATCATTGTTTCATTGATTTAATCACATGTGTTACTAATTTGATCATTAGTTCTCTGTGGAATGCTCTCAGTTTCTTTAGTTCGTTGTCTGGTGTTGTTTGTGTTTCATGCACACTGTTATGTTGCCTTGGATTATCTTGGTGCAAAATCTTACTCCTTTGTTTTATTTAATTAAGTTACACTGCATTATAGATCCGCTTCATCTCACCAATCTGGGACAGAAATGGCTGCTGGAAATTCAGCTTTAAATTCTATCACAAGAACAAATTACATGAAATTATAATATAAGGATAATATTTCACATTGTTTCTCTTTTTACTGTATTTTTGATCAAATAAATGCAGCCTTGGTGAGCATAAGATATTCTTTTAAAAGCAGTAAAAACTCCAAACTTTTGAACAGAGGTGTATACTTTAATAAAATACATCATAATCAACTTGAAGATTCAGAATTATTATTTATTTATTCATTTATTATAAAAAGTATCAAAAGATTTCACTGCAAATATGATGCTCTATTAAAAAGAGGAAAAAAAGAAAGAAACATAGAAAGGCATCTACTTGACGGATGCAAGGACTTTTGGTTTATACATTTATTTTGGTCTATCTTTATCAGATTTGGATTCAATGGTTTCAATGGTGACCTGACTGCTGAGTAACCGTTGCCTCTGGACGCTGTTCCTCACTCCATATCCGAAGTATATGAGGAATCCTGAGCATAAAAAAGACATAAATTTAAAATACACTTTGGGGTTGATTTTCTGCATATATCATATTTTGCATCGCATACCCCCGGCCATCCACACGGCATAGCGAACCCAGGTGTCTCCTCCCAGTTGCATCATCAAGTAAATGTTGACGAACACACTCACCACAGGGAGTATAGGCAAGAACGGTACCTGTGGTCACATAAAATATGAGATATTTATTTTATAATTTATACAAATGTTTTTATTTATTTTATTTTTTTTAAATAAAATTAGATGCCTATATTTTATTAAATATGTTTTATAAGTCATGTGCTCACCATAAAGGAGGCTTTGGTTGGGTTCTGGGGTTGTCTCCAGATAATGAAGACTATGAGGAAGATTATGACCAGGATCACAGATACACTCACAACACTCCAGATCTCCAGCAACAACAAAGATCTGATAACCTTGCTCAATAGCAGTGACAGGATAAGCACCAACACAACTGTAAAAGCAAAGATATGAAATAGGTTTGGTTATATTGCTGCCTGAGGTCAAATTTCCATGCGATTTCTGTAGAATTTCAGTATGGGAAGCTTTTATACACACCAAGAAAAACTGTGCAGGTTGTAACAGTGTTTGAAGTTTCTTTGGTAGGGTACGAAGGGGGTTTCAAAAACCCAAACATGGAGGTTGTGGGTGTGCGCAAATCATTTTCCTCAGAAGCCGTCTCTTGATACCTTTGAAAGAAACCCATTTTAGCTTCAAAGATTTGCATTATGATGGTAGAACAGAAGGGAAGTGTGGAGCTGCAGGAATACAACCTTAGTATGAGAATGCAAATAGCCACAAGTGTGTAGGAGAAGAGGGTACCAATCGACATCATATCAACCAATGCCTTCAGGTCAAATAAAAGAGCCATTATTGCTGGAATAAAGCAGAGCACATGATTCCCAGGGCTTTTGTATTTTAAACTATTTACTATTCATCTCACAGAGAGAAAAAGACCCTAGTCTTATGATTTGGCTTAGTCTGTCATATGTGAGAGAAAAAAAAGAGGGCAGAATTAAGATATCCGATTAGTAGAAGATTTTTTTTAACAATCTTTCAGTCCACTTACCCGCCACAGTTCCAGAGGATAGTGTGGCCACCACTGGACTCTGCCGTAAGCTGACTTTATATAGCGATTTGAACATGAGTCCATCTCTGGCCATGGCGAACAGGACACGGGGCATTGGGAACATGGACCCCAAGAGACTGCAGATTAAATGAAATGTCTGTAACTGATCTGAAACATAATAGAGAGCCAATTCTCACTCTGACTTTTTTTTTTACCTTGTTGACAGAGCGCACAAGGATCCGACCGCCACTACATACTTTGCTGCACCCCAGCCAATGTCAGCAAAGGCCACAGGAAGAGGACTTTGAATGTTGAGTTGGTAGTATGGCACCATCAATGTGAGAGCAGCCGAAACGCCAAAGTATGCCAGGAAACAGATAAGCAGAGAGGCCACAATACCCACAGGTATAGACTTCTGAGGGTTCTTCACTTCTTCGCCTAGAAAATCCATATTCATACATTAGAAATTTTATATTCATGACTGCTGATGATAATATATAGTCAATATATTTTTTAAATTAATATTTTTATTCAGCTAGAACAAAAAAAAAAATTTTAAATTGTAATAATATTTCACAATATTGCTGTTTTTACAGATTTTTAAAATCAAATAAATGCAGCTTTGGTGAGCATAAGATAGTTCTTCTTTCAAAAACATTAAAAAACGTTTTGATTGGCAGTTTGAATGTTTATTGCCCACAATATATTTTCAAAACTTTTTTTTCTACCTATTTTTACCTGTAGTTGCAATACAGTCAAAGCCAACGAATGCATAGAAACATGTTGCTGCCCCTGCCAGTGTTCCTTCAAATCCAAATGGAAAAAAGCCACCTACTCCATACTCAGTGGTGACATTGATGGTGGATGTCAGGTTTCTTTAAAAAACAAATAAAAAAGCAAAGCAATGCAGTATTTGATTTCTATTTTATGTATAGACAAAATTTGCATACTGTATACCGTATGCACAGTATATATGTATATATACAGTACTATGTAGCCTACTGTATGTACTAAGTATGTACTAAAGAAGTACTATTTCGAAAACAGTCAAAACTACTGATGTAACATTCAGACAGATTTTTAAAATAGGTTTATTGACTGAAAGGATTATAAATTGCATAACATGAATATATCGAAAATCCTAATAAACTACAAATACAGATGTTCTTACTCGTGCATTGCTGTTGCATTCAGGATGATGTCTTTTGTGATAAACCAGTTGTTCAGGTTTCCTTTAATGAAGCCAGCAGTGATGACAAATATCAACACCAGTATATTAACACTTGTAAATATCTTGTTGACCGTGGTTGATTCTTTCACACCATACGCAAGAAGAGCTGTAAGAAAAATACCATAGATAATGATAATGCAAAGCCTTTTCCATAGATTGTAAATATAGAAAAATGAATTATATGGTGTATGATTAGGACAGTATAGTCGGATACCAGAGAGAATCATTATGAGAGCAGCTGCAAAGAAGTCTGGGTAAGCTGCCAGGCCAGGAAGCCCCATGGCTGCATGTTTGCTAAAATAATTAGCCATCACATTTCCAATGAGATCGTCAAATGTACCGCTCCATGCCCTGGCCACACTTGATGTGCCTAAACCAAGACAAAGCTCTGTTAGTATTTAACATTAGACCCTTTAATATATCAATCTACGTATCTATTGTTCTGTTTGCTTGTCTATCTATCCATCCATCCATGCATTCTTACACCCACCCACCCACCCCTCCATCCGTCCATCCATTCATGCATCCATACACCCACCCACACACACACCTATCCATCCACATACCCACCCACCCATCCATCCATCAAAATCCATCCATCCACCCATCCATCCATTCATGCATCCATATACCCACCCATCCATCCACTACTCACCCATCCATCTATCCACCCATCCATCCATTCCACCCATCCATCCATTCATGCATCCATGCAACACACACCTATCCATCCATCCATCCATCCATTCATGCATCCAATCACAAACCCATCCATTCATCCACCACTCACCCACCCATTCATCCACCCACACACCTATCCATCCATCCATCCATCCACCCATCCATTCCATCCATCCATCCATCCATCCATTCAACCATACACCCTCCCACCCATCCATCCATTCATGCATCCATATACCCACCCATCCATCCACTACTCACCCATCCATCCATCCATCACAATTGACCCTGATCTTGTATATTCACTGGCCTTTAATTTCTACTTACCTATGACATAGGACAGTAGCAAATTCCATCCTGTGGTGAAGGCCCACACCTCTCCTACAGTCACATAGCTGTACAGATAGGCAGATCCGGTCTTAGGAACCCTTGCACCAAACTCAGCATAGCAGAGCCCAGCAAAGATAGAAGCTAAAGCAGCAATGAGGAAAGAGATGATAATACTTGGCCCAGCCTGGGTCCGGGCCACCTCCCCAGAGAGCACGTAGACTCCGGCCCCCAAGGTGCTGCCCACTCCCAAAGCCACCAGGTCCAAAGTCGTAAGACAGCGACGAAATGTGGAGACCTCTCCCTCCGGTTCCAGGGGTTTCCTGCGGCACAGCCCTCTCAGGAAAGACCGCATCGTTTGCATTATTGGCTGTTATAGAGGAAAAAATTTAAATGATAGCAAAGGGTTAATGCTATCCATTTTTTTAACAGTTTTTCTCAGTCGCTTTGGTACATTTCTTGAATCATCCGTAAGATTTGCAAACCAGTAAGTGCATTTCTCAAAACAGTTCATACATGTAACTTGCTCAATATCCTTAGTTCATCTCTCAAAAGTATTTATGTCAATGAACATATCAGAAGTCCTTGTGTCATTGTTCGCATACGAGATATTGTATAACAGAATACTCTGTCAGTATTTTCAGATGTAAACTACGATTTTGATGAAAATACATGACTGCACTTTATCTGAATGGCATTTATACATTTCAATGGTAAATTTTACACATTACTCTGGATTCACAGTTACGCTTTTACTGTTGGTCTGTAAACAAAAAGTGACTAGATGATGTGGAGGCTGAACAAGTAGTTTTTTTCCGTTGTTATCTGAGAAATGTGCCAAAGCAACTGAGAAAAAAAAGAACTAATGACATTTTTGTGCATCTTTTATCAAACTAAAATAATTTTAGTTTTTTCATTGTATTATTATATTGTTTGTTATATTTTAATATAAAATGACATGCCTTTGTGTAATTTAACAACTGATCTGGATTATGCTTATGCTAATCACCATAAAAACTTTTGCATGTTAGTCATACATTTGTAATAATAATAATAATACACTTATTGTCCCTCCCATTTACCTTATCACAATGTCTTCATGTTTTCATGAGTGCTGAGATTTTTTCTTTCCTTTGAAACCCTGAGAAAAAAAAAAAAACAGATCTCTGATTTAAGATTGAACAGATCATAATTATCTATCATTAATTATCTTGTCAGCCTCAAATGATAATTAAAATAAAATAAAAACATTGCAAAGTGGACTAACTTTGAATTATTTAATCATTCATGTAATTTGTAATTTTTTTTAGGCCACTTTAACTTCATAAACAACATAGGCTATTTATTAAAGGGATACTCCACTTTTTTTTTTTTTTGGAAATAAGCTTTCTGGTCTCAACCAGAAACTGTCTGTTTACTGATATTCTTATATCAGAAAATCGTCTGAATACATTCACACTTTCTACTGCATAACTTATCCTCTTCTGAACTCATTCAGTCTAGAAGTCTGTTCTGTGGCTCCATGAGATAGTTATGAAGAAAGACAGACAAAGCAGCCTTCATGACTTCACAAGTGGTTAACTGGCACACGTTCTCTTTGTGCGGTGTCTTTCTATTATCTGCCAACAAGAGATTCATGATCCATACTAATCCTGCAAGGAATGTACTGCTGCATACCATTATTCTATAGCACTGATCCCGTGCCATGCACGCCAGCCTGAACAGTATATGTCAAAAACTTTTACTATTCTCTGTAATTGTAAATACATTATGTAAGAAACTATTCAGAAATATGTGCATTATTTTACGTTTTCTAAATGCACGTGAAGCTGTATTTTTAGTATTTTTCTTATTAATTAATTTAGCATTTAGTTACTCATTGCACTGAAAAAGGTTATGTGTAATTCCAAAAATATTTGCCAAACATAAAATGATGAGTTTTATCGGCAAAATAATGATGAAAGAGCTTGCAAAAACATTTTTAATGCATCTAATTAGGAAATTAATATTTGTTTCTTTACCTTAATTGTGTCCAGTTAAGTGTGCAGTCTGTATCTTTGTAATGACTTTGTCTAAATATAGCAATCCATTTCACACCAATGAAGGCAAATGATTTTTAACAACAATATATACAAGAGTGGACTGTTTGACCCACCCACTCTGTGGCATTAGCAACAAAGTAGCCTTTCTTTCTGCATTTCTCACTGGCCCCATAATGTGCTCATAATTGCAGCCAAGGCTCAGAGTGAGTATAAAATTCCATGTTGAAAACCATACTTTTGTAACATTTCTGTGAGGTTATGACGGCTTTCCATTTCAAAAAATACTTACACAACAAAACAGGACATTGTTTCATGCAAGAAAGAAATGCGGGACATTCTTATTTATTAAACAGTTTGCAAACATTTTGAGAAGTCTGCACACTAGATGGCAGCACAGCTTTGCCATACCTTGCTGTTTACTGACTACAAAGAAATCAGTGCTTAGATGGTGACCTTCATGATTAATAGTGCAGACAGATAACGCATTTTGTGACTCCAGCAATTAAATCATGTTTTACCAATAACTAATATGGGGTTCCATTTATGCCAAAAATGAGTCGACTGCTTTGTATCATACATTTGTCCTTGTGTCACGAACCAGGTTTCTCCAGGTTTTATATCGTATTGTTCTTTTGTCCTCACTGTATTGTTCCTACTTTTTCAGATAAATTAGTACATGTTCATGTCTTGCTTTGTTGTCCTGTTCTGTCGTCCTAACTGTTATAATGTTGCCATTACTGTCATCTTGTTCTGTTGTCCTGTTCTCTTGTCGTCATTAATGTCGTCTTAACTGTCTCTTGTTTTGTTCTGTCATCTTTGCTGGATTTTTGAGTTTTTATTTTGCTGTTATCCTTACTATCATTTATGTAAACTGTTTCAAATGTGTACAGACGCAGACCTCAGGCAAAGCTCTCAAAATAAAAGCAAAGTGAGTTTACTGATGACAAGATAACAGTTAGGACGACAGTAAGGACAACAAAGATGAAGAACAAATCGACATAATCAAAGAACGTACACATGAACATTTATCTGACAAACTAGGCAATGACTTTTATATGTATTGCAGTGATGCATGCATTGTATGTAACCTTGGTGTGTAGTCACGAAAATTCTGTTCTATTAAGAACAGGAGGACATCCATACTACAACTCTGATCCTGCCAAATGGAGGTTTCTGATTGGTGGTTTGAAAGCTTATGAGAAAGTCTCTTCCTGTTTGAAAACTGTTAACTCCATGACGAAGGCTTGTGTGCTGAAACGCGTTTGGAGTTTTTTAAAGGTTTAAGTTGACCGAGCCATAACAATAAAAACATTTTAATCTTTCTAAAGAGAGTGCCTTGTAGTATCCTGAATTTTAACTATGAGCAATGACAGTTGATAAGGACAAATGTACAAAGCACAAAGCAGTCGACTCAATTTTGGCACAAATGGAACCCCATATAGTTAGTTAGAGAGTAAAGTTTATAGTAAATGAGTGACCATATCGACCCCCTCTCCCTCTGTTCTGTTCTACTATGCTGTCCTGATCTTGAATTCCTCACCCTCTTACCGGAATGACCAAAAGGATAGGACAGAAATAGCCCTGTCGCAATCTCACGCCAAGGCAGACATGTTCAGCCATTGGATCCTAAGAGCATATCGGCAACTCTCTGCTTTTCTCTTTAAGTTGATTCATAAGTTACAATAGTTTGACTTTGTACTTGGCTGCAATTCAGAATGCATCAAGACATGTCACTGCTTAAATATGGACAATGCAAGCTACATTTCTATCTCTATCGTGGCCCAGTTTGGACATCCCTGCTTTAGGAGAAGCTTGTATTTACTAGCTAATGATTATTTTCAGGTCTACTTCTATTTTAAATGTAATGTTTTAAAGGGTTGGACATTTGGAGATCATATGAGATTCACACATCATATGAAATAGAAGTCTGATAATTAATAATGTGGTTTCAGATATCAATGTAAATGTGCACTCAGTAAGGCTCTTAGGCCCCTTTGCACAATAGTTTCGCTATTTCGGCTTGAAGTATATTAATTTTTGATGTTTTTTCTCTTTTTTTTTATTTGTGTAAAAAATTACATTATTTTGCAAAAGGTTGCTGAGTAGGCTACATCTTTCACCTCTGTGTATTTGTTTCTCGAATGTTCATCTTCTTGACTCAGGACTTTACAGGAATCCCCAAATGTGCTGCATATTGAACAGCTCAGGATGTGCACTGCAGATGAAACTGACTGAAAAACCAACGGTCGCTCATGTCTTCACCATAGTTATCCTATGCTCAACGTCATTTATGAGAACTGGCTATCACGACACGTCAGCCTTGGACATTACATCATGGTTATCCTGAGTTAATTTCTCTGTGCCGTTTGCGCCGCATGCGTTGCGTCAAAGAAGAACAGCTGATACTCGCGCGAGCGTTTCACAGCAAGACCACTGACCACGATTAACTGGAGCTCGACTCCCTGGGAATAAGGTATAATGTTGTTTTGGTGTTATTATTTTTAACAATTCGTACGTAATTTATTAACTAATGCCGGCGTTTTGGGGCGCATATTCACATGCGCGTTTCATAGGCAAATGAAACCACTTTTAGAACTCTAGCGTTCTCTTCGAGGCGTTTATATTCTTTCCTACTACCACAGCCATTCAATTCTAAAATAGCCATACGTTTGATGATTCAAAATGTAAAAAGTTGATTATAAACAAGTTTTAGGGTTATGGTTGTAGTAGCCTAATGTTCTTTAAATAACATATCAGATTTTTTCCAGAAATGTTCAGAACATATCAGGTTTTCGTTAATTTTTGATTGATTTAAGTATAATTTGTGGCATTGGTTGGGTGGGGCTGTGTGAATGTCTTTCTCAGAATTTGGATGTATTCCTGACTCAGACCAAACAGAGAGACATGCCTATTTTTGGACTTCTCTGACACACATTTACAATTTTAAACAATTCTACTAAAAGGTCCCTGCATGTGCTTTTTGTATTTTATGAAAGTTTGCAGAGTCAGAGTGCAAAATCAATAATGACACATGAGAAGAAGCTTGATATTTGATGTTTTGTCATACAGTAACTGCTCCTCCTGATGTTTTGTGCACAAGTATGACATTTAACAGAGAATACAATTTCCAGTGAGCTGCAGACTGAACGTTTTTCCATCACTGAAAGTTCCCTGTTCTTGCCAAATATGTAGTGAAAGAGTACATGGTGTAAAATCAGAGGGTGGAGCCATGAGTATCCTGTGGAAAATGTGGCTTTGCCTTAGCATTTTATCCTATAACTAGAAATGGTCTGAATTAGGGGGAAATTATTTTTTAGAGCATTTTAAGTGACTAAACAGGTTATTAAGTTTAAACAAGTTTGGAGGTTACTTAACTCAAAGTAAACCTATGGAATTATGGAAACATCCATAGGCGGTTTGCTCCTGCAGCAATGCATTTTCATTTCAAATGTCATTTACATTGCAAATATAGGACTTTAGATAATTTATCTAAAGTTTCCACTTTGGCTTATAATATCTACATAACTCAGAGTCAGAAACAGAGGAGTCTGACAGAAATAAACATCCATTTAAAAAAAAAAACATTACTTTTTTATCTTTAATTATACAGAAGCGATAAGGAAAGGCTGACATGTTTCTTCTTAATTCTTTCTCCAGGTTCAAGATTATCATTCCATTGACAACTGATCAAACATGGGCAAAGTACGTTTACATTTCTACATCACTGTGTCTTCTTGCTTTATGCAATGCTTACAATTTGATATTTATGTGCAATTTGCAGTTTGTCATGTATCAAGAAAGAATAGCCACAAAGACATGACCTCTGCCTCCTTTCTTATTCTAGTCATTCTCAGTTTCCATCTATTGTCATTGAGGGAGTGTAGAATGTCAGAGTTTTCTTAATGAAATCTTAATGAACTACACTGCATTTTTTTTTTTTCATTTTTTGAAACTTTTTTTTTTAGATATAATTTTAGATACCTTGATGTATAGTAGCCAATCTATTATTAAAGCACACTAATAATTTATAAAACATTAGTGTATCGCTAGTGTTTTTCATTTTAGGGATTTAAATAAACCTCTGAACCTAAGTATTAAACCTTGTTTGTGCTGTGCATGAATACCTCAAATTATCTTATCGAGGAAAGGTGAGCTATTACTTGAGCTATCTTTTAAGTGTTCAGAATTTTCAAATCTAGGCACCAGAATATTAAAGAAATTGTTGTTTTATGACCAAATCACCTAGCACCCTAAAAACTGCATAGTAGTAAGCACTAATAACATGCAAACACATTTTCTTCAGAAAATCAATCTTGTTGTGTTTTATTTACATTTATAAGTTATATTTCCCTATTTTCTTTACGTTTTACAAAACTTTTCCTGAAAGAAAGAAACTGGCTAGGACTATATGCTAGCTGAGGTCAGTGTTGCCAGGGCTCTGTTGCTGTAGACGTGGAAGCCCACAGCTGCTGTGCTGAGAGATATCTGCAGGACAGGCCGTGAGCATGTGCAGAGAAGCATGAGGGGGAGGACACTGGATCTGTGCCCTTTTATACTAAGACACGCCAGCAACACCAGTGTTATGGCGATTAAATGTAGGTAGACAGTGAGTACAGAGGAGCTTTGTCAGATGTGAGGTCTTGCAGCTTTCTGAAGGGGAACGACATCCTTTAGATTCAATAGGGTTTAAAGTTTAAGGTTACTGACTTTTAAGTTGCATGCAAGCTTTTTGTCTCTCTCTCTCTGTCACACAAACTGCCCTTTGCTGCTGACCATAACACACAACTGCTACACTGACAGGTGTCAGCTGTCCATGTTAAAATCCCGCCTGGGCCACTGAGTTCGGATCAAAGGCCATAGGAGAGTCTGATTGTTGGTGTAATATTTTATTTTGGGATTATATAAACGTATGTAGGCTGTCCCACCCAATTATTTTTTTCGTTCAGTGTAATGCGTGTGACTGTAAATGCTCTCTAAAAACAATTAATTTCAGTAAAAATGTCCAAACATTCTTTAAAAACAAGACTTTTTTAAAAATTCAAAGTTGTAAAATAATAAATTTGTTCTTTTATATATTAATCTTTATATTTACTTTTTCTTATCCTTGTTTATGCATAAACCTCCATTTATGTTTAAAACTGATATTATGTATTAAAAATGATAAAAATGCTAATAATTAAAATATATCTTTGAATGACTGGAGTTTACTCTTTTCAGGTTTGAGAAGATTCATCTTCGTTCTTTAAAAAAAAAAAACTAAACATCTATATTTTTCGTCATAGGGATTCAGAGGTACAATTGTCGATCACCCTGACTTTGATGCTGGCAGTGATGCAGAGGCCCTCTATAATGCCATGAAAGGCTTTGGTGAGTGCCAGGACTCATCTATAGATGTGTAATATGCAGCTAGTGGCTGCTGGGATATTTCTATAATGAATGAATGAATGAAATTATTCTCTCTTGTATCACAGGAAGTGACAAGGATGCCATCTTAGACCTGATTACTTCACGAAGCAATGCTCAGAGGCAGGAGATCCGCACTGCCTACAAATCACAATATGGGAAGGTGCTGAACAATCTCCAGCAAGCATTTAATAAATGGATAAATGGCTTATAGATAAAATGTGCTTTATCAAAATTACATTTCAGGATTTAATTGATGATCTAAAATACGAGCTGACTGGGAAGTTTGAACGTCTGATTGTGGGTTTGATGAGACCTCCTGCTTATCATGATGCCAAAGAAATCAAGGATGCCATTAAGGTATATAATAATCTAGATTCTGTGAGAATTTGAGATATTAAATTAATATGTGCTGTGCATGGCTGATGTAATTGCTCAAAAATTACTATCCAAATGCAGGACTTGCACAGATAATTGTATTCATATAGATATGTTATGCTGTATTCTGTTTTCTGAAAATATTGCTGGTTGCTAATATATGGTCTTGACTTAGACATCTGCCAAACAGCTAAACTGAACACAATAGACAGAGTATTCTCTATTAAAATATCAGCAGTAGTAGTTTCTCTGTGTCATTTACTGCATGTTTTGTCCTGTGAATCTATTTTGCCATGGCTATATAGGATTCGGTAAGTAATTTTCCTTAATTTAATGATGATGGTTAGCTCTTTACTTTGGCAGTGTTAACTATTTCATGATTTTATGGCTGTGAAAAATCACAAAGAATTCAGTCATTTGGGACTTTAATAATGAAAAACAAAGATGAAATGTCTTGACTGTCCCTTTGGAAAATAAATAAATGATTTATTAATACATTTGTTACCTGCTTAGCTTTGACTCTTAATGGAAAGTTTACACTTAAATTGCTTCTTTTTTTTTTTTTTGCAAATACGAGACTGCATGCTTTGAAAAACTTTTCTCTCATTTGTACTGTAATTTCACTATGTCACTCAAGTTACTGCACTCATTTCCATATGGATAATTATACTAGTTGAATGTCCATTACCCCTTCATTTAAAGAGACTGAAGTTATTTGTGTTCAGAAATTAACTTGCTTGTTGTGCTGTAAAGGGAGCAGGAACAGATGAGAAATGTTTGATTGAAATCCTGGCTTCAAGAACCAATGAGCAGATTCATGATCTGGTGGCAGCATACAAAGATGGTGAGCTATTTTTTTTCTTTTTACACAAGTCAACAAGAAACCCAATATTCTTCTTAACCGAAGAAAAGCCTGACCATGTGTTTGTGTTCACAGCATATGGTAGAGACATTGAAGAGAGCATTATAGCGGACACATCTGGACATTTTAAGAAGATGCTGGTTGTTTTGCTTCAGGTCAGCGAGATCTTTATGTTGATTTATGATAATATAGCAAACCTACAGCCCAATGTTTAGTCAGTTTATGATTGTTTTTCCTTTTTGATTTTTTTTTTCACACTGAGACATTAAAAATACTAAAATGTATTTGAAATACATTTATTTTATGCTAAGTATACAACAAATACACTTACATATTTTATGTAATTGAATATAAATACCCTGCAATTGTATTTTAGGTATACTAAATTGGTATAGTTACTGTATTTAATGCACTTTAGTTATCCAGAAAGAGTGCTGAAGTTCAGTTAAAGTTATACTTATATTTGATTGTGTTTAAGTGGAACTATTGCAAGTATACTTTAGGTACACTTTAAATATATTACATTTAAAGACTGATATTATACAGAAATTATTATATTAAAGTGCAATAAAGAAGTTCTCCAAAAAAGTTTAATTGTAATTATATCAATAAGTCTCGACATGTCAGTAAATATGTCAATGGATTTGTTGTATACTTAGTATGAAATAAATGTATTTTAAATACATTTTGGCCCAGGTTTTTTCCACTATGGTCACACCGAAATTGCCTTTATTATGGTCTAATTTTGTTTCTGTTTAATAATGGTGATTTTCTTGTTTAACAGGGGACCAGAGAGGAAGATGATGTTGTTAGTGAAGACCTTGTGGAGCAAGATGCTCAAGTGAGTGTGAATGATGTTGAATTATTCTACAAATCAATATTACATTGATTCTTATTGGTCAATTGTGGCCTTCCGTCCTTCAAATATATTTTTATAATGAATTTACAGTGTAAAACTTTGCAGTCTTTTTCTCCTCACATAAAATAATAAATCTCAACTGAATATTCCATGCCAATTTACTTATTTATTTGACTCTTCTTAGCAAAAGAGCAACAGGAAAACAATTGAGTATACTAGTTTGCCCTACCATACAACTTAACAAGTGTGTTTTTGACCTCTTGACTTGCATCTTGAAAGAATGTTTGTGTGTAATGTCATCGTAGGACCTGTATGATGCGGGGGAGGCACAGTGGGGCACAGACGAGGCCAAATTCATCATGCTCCTGGGAAACCGTAGTGTGACCCATTTGCAGTCGGGTATGAGAGCCGCAGCCACACTGACTGGACACAGAGATTTCTGCTGACTAACACCCCTCCTCCACTGCACAATCTCTCTTGTGTGTCTGTAACACTCCACACTGCACCACCGATTAGATTTGACCATCAGGTTGCTGCTTTTAATAATATAAAAGAGAGTTTGTAATGCAACAGACAAAACCACTGTGCAATGACCGAAGGGATGAGTGATTATGATTTTTAATACACTTGGTTAAGGATTACCCAATGTTACATGGATCAACCTAACAGAGCAAACTTAAAATTGTGTTTTTCAGTATTTGATCAATACCACAAAATTGCAGAGAAATCCATTGAGGACAGTATTAAAAGCGAGCTCTCTGGGGACTTCGAAAGACTGATGCTGGCTGTTGGTATGCTTTGGCACCTTGCAATCAATTCCTGAACACTCACAGCTGCATTTTCACTCAAATCTGCTATTTGATTTATCTTCCACAGTTCAGTGCATCTGGAGTAAGCCCATGTTCTTTGCCAGACGCCTTTACAAATCCATGAAGGTTGTGTTTGCCTTGTTATAATGAATTCTAATGAAGTACAAGTACAATTCTCAACGTTTGCCCATCTGTCTGTAGGGTTTGGGTACAGCTGACAACACTCTGATCCGCATTATGGTCTCCCGTGCTGAGATTGACATGCTGGACATCCGAGAGTGCTTCAGACTGCGCTATGAGAAGTCTCTGTACAACATGATTCAGGTGCCTTTAGACCAACAAAACCGAATCCAGACTTTTCTTGATTCTGTCAGCACACATTTATTTAGTATCATTGGAAATCATTTCCAGTTGTGTCGTTGAGGTTTTCCTCTGTGATTTACAATTGTCATTCATTGTGTAGTCATATAGTTTTACATTCATGTGTTACACATGTTGCCTGTGTACATAAATAAAAGGTAAATAATATATTGTGAACCCAACAGGATGACACATCTGGGGAGTACAAACGCACCCTGCTGAAACTGTGTGGAGGAGATGATGAGTAAGCATTTTTCAGGTCTTAAAGTGTGTAATTTTTTTTTAATATTACAAAACCCAGCTCTTTAATGCAGAAAACTGAAAGTTTTGCAGTAACAATTAACAGTCAGTAGAGGGAGACATTGATCTACTATAAAATAGGACAACATGCCATTCAAAACTTGAGGTCAGTAAGTTTTTTAAAGATGTTTTTTAAAGGAGTAGATCACTTTTTTAAAAAACTTTTGCTGATAATTTACTCACCCCCATGTCATCCAAGATATCCATGTCATTCTTTCTTCAGTCGAAAAGAAATTAAGAAATAAAGAAATTTGATGAAAACACTCCAGGATTTTTCTCCATATAATGCACTTTACTGGTAACCAAACGGTTCAAGGTCCAAAAGACAGTTTCAGTGCAACCTGTAAACTGTTCAAAGGGCTTTAAACGATTCCAGACAATGAATAAGGGTCTTATCAATTTAAAAAAATAAAAAATAAAATTAAAGTTTTATAAGCTCAAATGGCCGCCTTGCTCTGTTGTGTGGATGCGCGTTCGTGACTCTCCTGTTCGAACTCGTTTATCAAAATGAAAGAATCTTTTCCGTGTCATTTGGTTCATTCAACAAACGAAATGAACGAATTGACTCGGAAAAAGATTTGTTCATTTTGGTGAATGAGTTCGAACAGGAGAGTCACACAGAACAGAGCAAGGCAAGCATTTAATCTTATAAAACTTAAACTTTGTTGTTGTTGTCTGGTGTCGTTTAAAGCCCTTTGAACAGTTTGCAGCTTGCACTGAAACTGTCTTTTGGACCTTGAACCATTTGGTTACATCTTGGATGACATAGGGGTGAGTAAATTATCAGCAAAAGTTTTTTTAAAAGTAAACTACTCCTTTAGAGAAGTCTCTTATGCTGCATTTATTTGTTGAAAAATACATTAAAAACAGTAACATTGTGAAATATTATTACAATGTATTAATTTATTCCTGATGATGGCAGAGATGAATTGTGATTTGTGATTTGGAAATGATTTGGTACTCAAGAAACATTTCTTATTATTATCACCACAGTTGAAAACATCTTCACATTTTGGTGGAAATTGTGATACATTTCTGTCAGGATTCTTTGAAGAATAGAAAGTCCATAGAATAGAAAGAGCAGCATTTATTTGAAACAAATCTCTTGTGACATTATCAATGTATTTTTTCTTACTGACCCCAAACTTTACAGAAGTAGGGTATTTATATACCTCCGTATTTACAATCATTTAGACGTGCCAGAGAGCAAGAACTGAAGCTTGTCAAGCCCCCATTCCCTCATGTGAAGTTTGAATGTGAAGAATGTGAAGTTCAATCCACACAATTATTTTGTCAGCACAAATTTTAAAGAGCTGTTTGTTTCTCAGTATGGCAGGAGAGTTCTTCCCAGAGGCTGCACAGATTGCCTACAAGATGTGGGAAATCAGCGCCACGACCAAAATCCAGGTTGGTGTCACCCACGTTTTCTCTCAGCGGCATGCATCATATTACCCTCTGCTCCGTCCAAGCTAGAGTTGATAACTGTCATGCACCCTAAGCATACAGCGGAGCCTTTGTCTGTGCACAGAGAGCATCCGAATGCTGCTCAATTTGATAATCGGAGTCTTGATTCACTGCCAGTTCCTGTGACACCTTTCAGTCTGTGTCACACCATCCTACAGGATGTTTATGCTGCTTGTGTTATGTTGCTGTGAAAATGTACACATTTTAAACTACAAGATGAAACAAAAGGAAAATGACTGAAGCTAATGTTTTGCTAATGAAACTATGTGTATGTCTTTCCTTTTAATCATGTTATGTTTTAATTTGGTCTTTTCCATCTATATAGTTAAGGGGAACTGTGCGACCATATCAAGATTTTGACCCTGCGAGTGATGCACAAGCTCTGAGAAAAGCAATGAAGGGTTTTGGTGCGTTAAAACACAGTTTGATGAGGTGCCAAAGATACTAAGACTAGCAAAAATAATGAATGATTTCCTTTTATTCTTCAGGCACTGATGAAGAGACAATTATTGGCATTGTGGCACAAAGGAGTAATGCACAGAGACAGGAGATCCGACAGACTTTCAAATCTCTTTTGGGACGGGTAAGACACCGCCCTGCACAGTTTTGCTACTGCTCCCACTCGGACATCAGTATTTTACTGTAGTTGCTGTAAATGTGAAAATATTTAGCATTTTGCTAACATATCAATTTGTTTTCCATTAGGATCTCATGGCTGATCTAAAATCAGAACTGTCCAAAAACCTCCAAAGACTCATTCTTGGTCTCATGATGACCCCAGCAGAGTTTGACGCCAAGATGATGAAGAAAGCCATGGAGGTACACAAAAAATTTGTGACGGCACTATGGATCCAAACCAAAATCTTATTTGAGTCACAGAAAAGCCTGTTTCATCATTTAAGCAGATCGACCTTGCTTTTGTTATTTAACTTCTGTGTTCATTTGTTCACTGGGGGTCAGTGACCTGTCCAAACTAGAGCAGAGGTAATAGTCTTTTCTCTACAAGGACTGTTTGTTTACAGATGTTGAGTTTTACTGTGTTGATAAAGAAATGTAGTTAACAGGTATGCAACATGCAACTTTGAAATAACTTTGTTTATGCTTAAATGTATGTATTTTCCATTTTTTAATAGGGCGCTGGGACTGATGAACATGCGTTGATTGAGATCCTGGTCACTAGAAGCAACCAGGAGATTCAGGAGATGTGTTCTGCCTATAAAAAGGGTAAAAAAAAAAAATCCTGGCTGTAGATTGTGTAATGTGTCCAGCAGGTGGCGCCATTTATCTACGCCAAACACTGACAAAAAGTCTGTGTAATAGGGCATTTACTATGCTATGAAGAGTCATTTATTTACAGACCCATGTATTTAAATTTTCTCCTTCATAGCCTTTAAAAAAAGTTTGGAGGATGCCATCGAGTCGGATACATCTGGGCATTTCAAAAGGATCCTGATCGCTTTGGCACAGGTACATCGACACAGCTCTCGCATCCAAACACTGACCCACAGTTCATACTTTTTGCTTTATAAACTCATATTTCACTGGTGTGTTTGTCAGGGAGCCCGTGAAGAGGGCCCAGTAGACATGGAGAGGGCCTTGGAGGATGCCCAAGTAAGTGTAAAATACTTATAAAACACTTTCAACTGTTGTTTATTTACCAAGTATAAAGGTTATACCAGAGTATAGTTTTTAAGATTTAATGTTTTCATCCCATGTAAGGAATTGGCAGATGCATGCAACGCAGACTCTGGTGACATGGAGGACAAGTTCATGAGTATCCTGTGCACAAGGAGTTTCCCTCATCTGAGGAAAGGTAATGCAAACACATGTTTGCTACTGATACACACATGCTTATACATGTTTTCATGAACGCTTCATCTAACATTTGCTAAATCCCCTCCAGTGTTTCAGGAATTTGTGAGGTGCAGCAACAAAGATATCGAACAGATCATAAAGAAAGAGATGTCAGGAGATGTTAAAAATGCCATGTTTGCTATGGGTAAGAAGTACAACGACTGAGCACCAGAAAAAAAAAAATCACTAATAAATGACTTTAATGTTTTTTGCTACAGGGGTCATGTTATCATCAAAATCAGAAATATTTGCTCTTTTAATTCCAATGTACTATAAATAGTAGCCGATTAATGGATGACGAGGCAGTTAAACTATATTTTATATTAAATTATATAATTAAATTGAATCCTATATCAGTGTTATTTTAGTATCACTATTGTAGTATTTATTAATATTTTGATTTAGCTTTTGTTTTTATATTTTCAGTTTTCTTTTCAATTTTAGTTTGGGTTTTATTAATTTTGTTTTGTGCTTTTATCATTTTTCAGTTGTTCTAAAAATATTTCTATTAAGCCTTAATGTATTTTTATCTCTGTTTTAGTCATTTTAGTGCCTCAACTTAAGCTAACAGTATTTATTTTCACTTAGCTGCCTAGGCAACATTTCTAGGTTTTACGTTTTTTACCTCAGCTTTCACAGACACGTTTTAAGGCTAGTCCCAGACTAAAATACTAAAAGCAACTTACACCGACATATCTTAAATGGATACTCCACTTTTTTTGTAAATAGGCTAATTTTACAACTCCCTCAGAGTTAAACAGTTGAGTTTTACCATTTTCGAATCCACTTAACCAATTTTCTGATATTTTGAAGAATATCAGTAACCAGACAGCTTTTGGTCCCATTGACTTCCATAGTAGATAGGCTATACTATGGAAATCAATGAGACCAGAAACTGTCTGGTTACTGATATTCTTCTAAATATCAGAAAATCTGCTGAATGGATTCAAAAATGGTAAAACCCAACTGTTTAACTCTGGGGGAGTTGTAAAATGAGCCTATTTCCAAAAAAAGTGGAGTATCCCTTTAAAATAATTGTTCTAAAAATATTTCTATTAAGCCTTAATGTATTTTTATCTCTGTTTTAGTCATTTTAGTGCCTCAACTTAAGCTAACAGTATTTATTTTCACTTAGCTGCCTAGGCAACATTTCTAGGTTTTACGTTTTTTACCTCAGCTTTCACAGACACGTTTTAAGGCTAGTCCCAGACTAAAATCATAAAAGCAACTTACACCGACATATCTTAAATGGATACTCCACTTTTTTTGTAAATAGGCTAATTTTACAACTCCCTCAGAGTTAAACAGTTGAGTTTTACCATTTTCGAATCCACTTAACCAATTTTCTGATATTTTGAAGAATATCAGTAACCAGACAGCTTTTGGTCCCATTGACTTCCATAGTAGATAGGCTATACTATGGAAATCAATGAGACCAGAAACTGTCTGGTTACTGATATTCTTCTAAATATCAGAAAATCTGCTGAATGGATTCAAAAAATGGTAAAACCCAAACTGTTTAACTCTGGGGGAGTTGTAAAATGAGCCTATTTCCAAAAAAAGTGGAGTATCCCTTTAAAATAATTGTTCTAAAAATATTTCTATTAAGCCTTAATGTATTTTTATCTCTGTTTTAGTCATTTTAGTGCCTCAACTTAAGCTAACAGTATTTATTTTCACTTAGCTGCCTAGGCAACATTTCTAGGTTTTACGTTTTTTACCTCAGCTTTCACAGACACGTTTTAAGGCTAGTCCCAGACTAAAATACTAAAAGCAACTTACACCGACATATCTTAAATGGATACTCCACTTTTTTTGTAAATAGGCTAATTTTACAACTCCCTCAGAGTTAAACAGTTGAGTTTTACCATTTTCGAATCCATTCAACCAATTTTCTGATATTTTGAAGAATATCAGTAACCAGACAGCTTTTGGTCCCATTGACTTCCATAGTAGATAGGCTATACTATGGAAATCAATGAGACCAGAAACTGTCTGGTTACTGATATTCTTCTAAATATCAGAAAATCTGCTGAATGGATTCAAAAATGGTAAAACCCAACTGTTTAACTCTGGGGGAGTTGTAAAATGAGCCTATTTCCAAAAAAAGTGGAGTATCCCTTTAAAATAATTGAACTAAGGCCTAATTCTGGCTTAATCTGAGCCCTGTCTGTCCTGAAACCAGGCCATAGTTTATTTTATTTCAAATAGAAACCAATACAACTAGAAAACCTTCTGAAATTTACATGCAGTAGATTTCTGCTATTCATCTTAAATGTGAAGAGGCCATCTTAAAGTCTTAAAAATAATTAAACAATACTTTTGCACAAAATCTAGAATGAGTCATATAACAATTACATCAGCAAAAGCCAAATTTATGATCACATGTTTTAAACATTTGACACAAAAAAGAACATATGACTCATGTTTACATGTTTGTATTTTCCAGTGCGAAGTGTGAAGAATCAGCCATCTTACTTTGCTGACCGATTGTACAAAGCCATGAAGGTAAAAGTGCTTTGTTATGTAATACACTTCCCTCAACATCACTCTGTGAGCAGGAGGACATATCGCAAACATTTAGGCCAAGAACATGACATAAGTCATCTCAAAGTGCCAATGGAAAAAAGAAATCACAACTGAGGTCTCTTTAATATCTCATCTGGTTATCTTAAATAGGAATGAGATTTAAATAGGAGCATTAGTAATCACACCCCAGGAGTTCAGAAGACATCTCAATAATGTCCGTGCTCAGATTCAAGCATACAAAAATCTGGAATCAGATACTGAAATAAAGCATAACCGAGTATGCGGTTAAAACTCATGAGCAAAACTTTTACTCTGGGTGATGAATAAGAGACGTTGATTAAAAACATGCTGTACTGAAACAAGTTTTAATGGTCTTTTTGTGGGCTAAACACACTGATGTAAGGCAACGGTCATGTAGGACTCATCCGTTGACAGTGTGTCCGTGCCAGCGATGGTTCTCAGACTTGATTATGAGTCACAGGACCTGTGATGAGCGTCTGCACTGTTGCAGTCAGGCCAGAGTTTTCTAAGCGCTGTGACTTTCCCCGCAGGGCCTGGGAACAGACGACAGGGCTCTCATCCGCATCATGGTGTCCCGCTCCGAGATCGACCTCTTCAACATACGCAAGGAGTTCAAGGACACCCATGAAGCCTCTTTGCATGAATTCATCCAGGTAGAGACGTTCGTTGTAAGTTGCGTGCTCCGCTCCTTGTCAAATATACTGCATGAATTACTATTGTGATTGGAAGTTAGTGAATTTAAAGAGAGTTGTGTAGATATTGTGTTTTGTATCACTGTAGGCGTTGTACATCCTCTTTTAGTTAAGTTGAGGGGAACAGAGTGTTTGACAGGTTCCTGCGGTGTACTTGCTCGACTCAGCTGTTTAGGAATTTCCCCTGCATGCTTGACTTCCTCTCAGTGTGCTGATTCTGATTGGCGGAGAGAGTGGAGACAGGAAGTGTTAAACAACAGGTCTATACTGGCTCTGTAGTCAAAATTCCCTTCACAGATCAAGATCAATAACAACATTAATTTATACATTTTATGCATTGTTTTCGTGGCTTATTATGGTACATTACTTGTGCCGGTATGCAAATAAATTAAGCGCAACAAAGCTAATGTATCATTTTAATTCAAATCATATTTAAAAATGTAAAAATAACCGCACAATTTATTTTTAGATATGCGTGCAGTGTTGGATAAAGCATGCAGAGAAGTCTGTGTGTGTTTTTAAGCTGTGCGTCAAATGATTTCTAATGAATGGTTTTGTTGAATTGCATGGTTTTCATTTGCATTTTCAAACTTTATTTCCATGGAAATGCACTTTAGTAAAATGTGCTGTTGATCTCACTGCTCGTACAGTTATTACGAAACTCTTTGTTATTATGTAATGTCATGAATTTCATAATGGCTTAATAGCATTATGCAACACTAAACTTTCACTGATATAATCATGTACATTCTCAAACTAGGGTGTGTTTTGATGCTTAAATCCAAAATTGGTCAAATGTTTGGTCTGACCAAATCGTATTGTGTTTCTCAGGGCGACACATCAGGAGACTATCGTAAAACCCTTTTGATGCTCTGTGGAGGTGAGGACTAGAACATTGTTCACCACCCTTGATGTGTCACAGGATATTCACGCCTAGCAAACAGTGCGTTATGTTCCAGTCCGTTTTTTGCCTTTGTGCCCTCTGCTGCTGCCATGCCTAAGCTGCCATGCCAAAGCTAGTGACCTATGGAAAAAGCCACACCTTTTTCCATTTTCTGTAATAATGCACGAAACCTTTTTTTTTCTACAGTTAAAAGCACTTTTTGTGGTGTCACTCTACTAGTGCTTTATTTGTTACCCAACCCCCTGTATAAATTGATCACCCCTTAAATAAAAAATTGTGATCGTGTTTTGATGTTGTGTTTTAATACCAAAAGTTGCTTTAAATCTAGTACAAAATGTGATGTGTTTCTGGATTTGTTTTTTAGGACTGGATGTCAAATGGTGACACAACACATCACAAACATTTTTATCATATTTTATCAAAAGTGAAATAAATCTATAAAATGAATTACCAGCTAACAGGGAACGTTATGACAAGGTTCTTTTTAAAAGTTATGAACAAACATTTTTCTAATAATGATTGATTGTTTGTTCAAAGTTATTTGGTCTTTAAAAACGTTCTCTCTTTAATAATGTTCAAACATTGAAACATTTTCTCAAAACGTTAGCACAAGATCATTACGTTGCTCATGGAGCATTTTCTTTCCCCGAAACGTTGGATCATGTTCGTCTAACATTTTTTGATTGTTAGTAGGCCTACATGTGTCAGAAAGTTTTGAAAACATTCAAAAGTAATGTTCCCATAATGATTGCAAAATTATAAAAATGGAATGTTCCCTTAACATTTGCATAACCAAGAAAAAAAAAACGTTTTAAAACATAAAAAACCCCAGAGGCGTTTCAGAGAACGTTCAGAAATAATGTGTTACCTTAATGGAAACGTTAGCACGAACGTTTTTAGAACATAGTTTTGTTTAATGGATTTAATGTTGTTTGGGGAATTCTGCGGACGAAATCCAGTTATTTCAATATGAATCCACATGATTGTGAATTTTGTGTGAGAGCGAAATAATTCGCCAATCGCCACACAGATTTGGTAACAGATTCAAGTTGGTCACTCAAAGCCGCTACATTGACCAACATACAGTTGCTTAGTTTAAACGTTCAGTGCAAGTTGTGCTTCATACATTATTGCTACACTATTGACAATTATTATTTTTTTGTCCATGGAACCACACCTTTAGGCCTGGTTTCACCGACAGTGTTTAGATTAAGACATAATTTGGCTTAGTTCAATTAAGACATTTAAGTAGCTTTTATAAACTTGCCTTAGAAAGAAACATTAGTGTGCATCTTGAGACAAAACAACGGCACTGAGATATTTTAAAGGTCCGATGTGGTTATTTTATTATTTTATGTTTCCTGGGTTGCTCTTGTGAGTTTTTTTAGGTCAAAAATAGTCTATAGGTAAAATAATTTAGAAATAAAAGCCGCTGATTTGAAGGCTCTATTTGAAGGGGCATGTCTTCTGTGGGATTCAGTGTAACCGCCCACTGCTGTGATTGGCTGACATGCTTGCATATGAAATAGCTACGTATTACATGTGAAACTCTCTCGAATACTTTTACTACAGCTATTATACGTTTTTTACTATTACAGCTATCGAGATGAATGAGTCGTGAGAAGTTGTCAAAGCATTTAGATCTACTCCCATCACATAAAATGTTGCCGTGATGAGCATTGAGCAAGCAGAGGACAGTCTGTTGATCGCGAGAATGAAGATCTTATCATTGTAACGCAGTTTCTGCACTGCCACTCTCTCTAATGCTTTCACCAATGCAAACACGAGGATTTACACACAGTAACAGTGTAACGTAACTTCGTTGTGCTGTGTAACGTGCGTCATCATTGATTTCATAACGAGTTGTCCAGATAACATCCTACCAAAAGCTCTGCATTGGCCCAAGATGAGGAAAAAATTTTCGGTGAAATCTTTGAAATACTTTTCATTTGTACATCCGAATCAGCGGATCTGAGCTTTAATTTTCTCAAAGGCATGAGAAAGACAGCCAAAACTTGGTTAACACCGATTGAAATTTCTAGCCACTGCGGGACAAGCTAGGGGAACTCATATTAATGTTAAAAAACTCAGAAGGTGAAAATTTCATGTCATGGGACCTTTAAGATATCTGCAGTGCAAGTTGCTTTGAGTTAAAACAGGTCAAACATATATTTTTGACTGGGAATAGGCTTAAGCCTTGTCTGTGAAACCGCAGGTTAGTAGTTGAATGAATTGCATAGGCTCATTAATATTCGCAATTAGTAACATGACATACACTGAATAGGAAAACAGAGAATTTAGAATTAGATCATGATGTTTTCATGATCTTGTAGCAGCTAATAATTCACATCATATTTTTTATTCATTTTGTGTAGTTGTTTTTCATTTCATTTAAAATCCTCCTTTAAAAAAATGTTGCTATCATATACTGTACCTTTGTTCGATTATATAACTAGTTGGATTTTATTATTTGCAATCAGCATTGTTTTTTTACCTGGTGTTTTCGGCCCTTTTAAGAACCTTGGACCTGTTTTTTGGCTCAAAACTTCGATTGAAACCACTGGCCTAAAACGTTCAGTATTTCACTCAGCAGAGGAAGTTTCTCATGTCCTTATTTTTATGGTCTAGAAAGCTGATTCACCCAGATCAATCATTAACTTTATTTACATTGCAGACGCACAAGATAAGGAAATTCCCTCCTGTTTTAATCTGTGTAACTCTGTTCTGAATAGGAAATATATGGTTATAAATTGCAGATGACAAATGTGATATTTGATGTTCGGTATAGATATTATTTACTTTTCAAAGAATCAATCATGCATTATGACGTCAAACAAAAAAAGCATAATAATGGCATTCTAAAAACGAAGAGAAAATGCACTTGATGTGTACTTGGGTCTGCCCTGAACACATTGCTTTTATTGGATTTAACCATGCACAACACACCTTAATTACATTTCCTGTGTCCGCCATTTTGGAAAGTTTTTATTTTATTTTTGAAAATTGAACTTCAACACATTTTCTGTTCTTTTGGGCTTCGCACCAGTTTCGGGAGATGTTTCCCAGTTTGCAGACAGCAACAGTATTGTCATCTGCAGATTTCAGGGTGTGAGTAGAAGCATTGATAGATCTTTTTCTGTACAACAGCCTTCCTCTGTCAAAAAATGAGCCTTCAAACCATCAATTCATATAGTCTTCTCTGCGGCTACGTGTATGTGTGCAAGCACGCTTGTGTTTGTGTGTGTGCGGACGTGTCTTTGTGTGAGCGCAGCTGTTGTCAGGCCATCTTTAGTTAAAAGAGGAAAGAAGAAAAAAGCTTGTGGGGCTAGGAAATCCCCTGCAAGTAGACCAACATCCCAGTCACCATCGATGATGTCTGCAATAGCAATAACATAGTTAAATTCAGAGCAAAACATCAAGTGCATGATCATATTGATATTTTCAGCTGTGTGTGCACAGTTGCACATTCAAAAGCAAAATAAATTCGGGATGCTTAATGTCAGAGGTGACAAAAGGTTATGCAGTTTTATACAACATGAAGAGATAACATTGTGCATTTCTTTTCAAAAGCTGCATGCAAGTTTTTTTAGTTATGAAATTTAAGGTAATTTTATCAGTGCACTTTCCATTGTGCATGCAATTGGGACTTTTTTGTGGTTTAAAACAACAAAACTGCGATTCTACTTGTTTTGTTCAGGTTTAGGGTGGAGATTTATTTATGGGACACTTTCAAAGCAAATGCATATAGAATTATGGAGTATATTAGAATGCAGTAATTCAATATCAGGCATTAAACTGCTGATTAATGGAGCTATTTTACAATCATTTGATGAAATAATCCTTCACTCTTGTTTAAACAGTCAAAATAAGCTGTGTTACGATACGGTGCGTGTTGTCTGGTAACACTTAGCTAAGCAGTCTCAAGTTGGACGCATACCAGGCCCCAAATATCAGGCCCTTTCACTATGTGGGAATTCCCCCTTCTGTTTAAAAACACAGCAAACGCTTCCCCCATTGCCACCAGTTTCCTTAAAAAACGCCTCTCGGACACAAGTTTAATGTGTAGGTGAGTAATTGTTCCAAGTTTTTATTGAGCATTTTCTAGTATTAATAGAAAAAAATGTTGTATCTTAGTTTGCTTTAACTTGGATAATACAATGGGAAATTATACCAGTAAATCTGTACATGTGCATTTCCATAAAAACTGTGATTAAAGGGTATTTATTTTTTGATGATGTAGTTGTACATTTCAATGGAAAATGTATGTGTTATTTACTAAAAGGTGCATGTGTTTTCTGTTCAAACAAGACAAGTAATTTCATTGATATTTTACTGCGGATGCAGCTGTACATTGCAAAGTTTTAAAATTGAGTGATAGCTGACCACCGATGCTTTAAATAAATCATATTGCAAGTTTTTATTCATTTATTTTAATATGTTGCACTAGACTTCTCAATAAACATTGTGTGTGATTTTAATCTTGTGGTGAATTTCCACAAGATGTCACCATTTATTTTCAGTGCAGGATGAGATTTACAAATAGGATGTTAATCTTTCTGATTTTTTGGTGATGGCTAAAAAAATTAGTTATATAAAAGTTGGATTAAATTTTCTCCTAAAATATTATTGTTCTATTGTGTTGATGGGAACTGAATTCATACTTGGATTACAGGACACATTTTTTTTTATCTCATAAATCTGGAAATCCCTTTTTTTTCTGAATTAACCTCAATGGTCATCAATCCATTCGTCCGTCCGTCCATCTATTAACATTTATCTTGAGTTTCATTTTGTATTACAATAATGGTATCATTGAAAACATGCAGAAAATTACCAATCCCGAAAATTATTTAAATTAGCTGGACATCACCATTTCTTCATAATGGAGTAAAATGCACATTTTCTCGTAAATGAAAACTCGTGACAGTTATGTTCCTGTCAAAATACCATTTTAAGAACTGTGGAATATTTTTGACAATACAATTTTTGAAAGCTTATTCCAGGCACTTTTCAAATTGCACCCCTCATCATGACTGTATTTTTGTAAGCTATTTTCCAATGCATATATATAAATACTTGGCATCATACTGAAGTCTTAAAAGTAAAGTTCACCCAAAAATGGAAATAATGTCATTATTTTATTTCTTCTGCTGAACACAAAATAAGATATTTTGAAGAATATGGTTAACCAAACTGTTGATGGAGCCTATGCAGAAAAAAAAAATACAATGGCAGTCAATGGGTCAACATCAGCTGTTTGGTTACTGACATTCTTCAAAATATCTTCTTTTGTGTTCAACAGAAGAAAATAATTCATACAGGTTTGGAAAAACTTGAGGGTGAGTAAATGATGACAGACTTTTTAATTTTTAAGTGAACTATCCCTTTAACTTGGACATGCCCACCTTATTGTAATGTTTATGTTAAGCATTCTTTAAGTATGTATAACGGACAAACAAAACAGTCATTTGCTTATAATGTTTAAACTTCCAGAATTGGCCAATAATGACAACTCTTATGTTACCCAATTCAACGTCTCATTATGTTTCCTTGTGAATTTCTTGTGGGCCTTAAACATAGCATATATATATATATATATATATATATATATATATTTAGATTAACTAGTTTAATGTTGTTTAGAACAGCTTAAAGAAAACATTTTAGTTCCCTGCAGTACTGATTAAAGTTTCCAAGAAAACTCACATCCGTATGAGTAATATGGCAGGCACCTGATAAACTGTTAGATTGTTTAACCTAACCTGAACACATACATTTACACTCATAGCCTATGCTTCTGCTATATTTGAGTCAAAAATAAAACAGATATGCATATTCTTTATATAACTGTTTGTTTTGTCAATGAAAATTGATTTTGTGTTATTGTGCGTATTCCTAACTTCAATTGATACAGGTGGATTGATAAATAGGCCTATATGCTGCTGCAAAGCACTCTGACTAAAAGCGTCTAACTTTAGTTTGCTTTTTTTTTTTTTTTTTTACTAAATATAAATTTGTTGTCTATAATTCACCCACATTTGTAAACCACAGACACACTAAAAGACCTATAAAACATATTTAGACATTTTGGTTGGGTAGGGTTTGTTGACCAACGTTTCACGTAGGCTAACGTTACATGACATTAGGATAACTCCAATGCAATCATACTATGTGAAAATGAGTCGTTTTTTTTCTAGTCTCGGTTATAAAAATAACCCAGTACAACCACCAAATCAATTAATTCAACATATTTTCAAATGTGTGTGGCTGTTCAGTGGGAGCAAACCAACTATGTTCGTGAATTAATCATTCTTTTGTTTCGGATCTTTCCCATGAATCATTTGAATCGGTTCATAACTTTGGGTATGAACAATTCTTTCAAGAATTGTACTGAATCTATCCCAGCGGTTCGTAATGAGAATCGATTCGTAATGATCCGTGAACAGAGTTGGAGTGTGCCGAAGATATGACTAATTTAGGAGATGTTAATGGGCTGGAAATACGCCTATGGCGAGTATGCCTGATTATGATAGCCTGATTATAAGATTTATTAACACACATACTGAAAAGAGTTGATCTGACTAAACAGGCTAGCATTTTATTAAAATATATAAAACCATTTTCAGTATTGCAAATTATATAAATAATAGTAATAATTATAATGATAATAATAAAACAATAATCTATCGTGAAAACAAACTGAACTGGACACATGAAAATAAAATAAACATCCTTATCAATAAAATTAGAAAAATAGGCCAAAATATATGTTTATTTTTTTAACGTTACTGAATTGTGCATTATCAAATGAACAGTTCGAAAGAACCGATTCGCGGAAATGAGTCGGACTTCCCATCACTAACGCGGCTCTGTTTACATCTGCGGAATTTCCCGGCTCGCGCCGCGAACCACTTCCGCAAACCTCCGGCCGATCAAAGACGCATCTCCGTCAAGGTACAGAAAGAGCTCTTTTTTCATTGAAAACAAAAACCTAACGGTAAAATACAGTTTATTATAATCCGTATCGTGCGACCGCTATGTTTTATTCTGTCCTAGAACATTAGTGAGCGTATTAGGTGCTGTTTGTGGTTTTAGAGAGAGCTAGCGTGAAAGCTTTTGTCTGCTAGCGTGGTAAACACATCACCTGCTGTTAGCTGGATGCTAAGCTAATACTAGCATCATGTATTTGTTTTTATAGTGAATCATTTATTTAGGCTTCAAAATACGTTGGGTTTGACCTTGTGTGGGTAGGGGGTTTCAGCTCATGGTTAATAAAAGATAAATCTTCCCGTACTGTATCTATTTCAAGTCGTATTGTTATGAGATTGGAGTGGATTAGAAATAAACAGGATCCTCTAGATGAGGTTTCGTCTTATCTAAGAGCACCTATCATTCAGCGATGATGTTGACTCTACCAGATCTGTTTAAACAGATCTTATCATGGAAAGGAAAGTGAAAGGGTTTAGCTTTAAGTCTAGTTTGTTGGATTTGCTGTTTCTGTGAAGGTAGGTGGCTGTGTTTTTCCAAGAGGACACGTACTAGGATCGCATTATTAGGATTTCTAAGATGTCTCGTGGTGGCACATGATTATTAATTTGTTTGGCTGCTGGTTTGATGCGTCACTTATGTAAATGTCATTTGTATTGGTTGTATGGTAGTTTGGATCCATTTGTATGGTAGTTTGGATCTTTGTTGATTGTCTATTTAATGTTTTAGAAAATCTTTCTGACTGCTATGAGGACACATTTTAGTTATGATATCAAAGATGTGCATTCAAATCATTATGTCTTGAAATAGCCAATGAGAAATCCCCAATATGCCATTATTCAAATACCACTCTTTGAATTGCAAATGAACAATATTTACGCACTTTCATGGCGTCATTTCATGTTGCATTAGTAATCTGAAAGTTTTGTTTAATCTGTCCGTACAGTACACGCACAAATGAATGACCATCTGATTTCTTTGTTTTAGTACCGGGAAACATGTTTGGTAAGTAACGGGGTGACTGATGGAGGGAAAAGGCCCATATCGCATCTATGACCCCGGTGGGAGCGATTGCCAGGTCAAAGACGAGGCCAGCAGCCTCAGCTACAGACAGCTGCTAGAGGAAAACACCGTTTTGAGGGAGAGAATGAAAGGTCTGAAGAGTTTAGGTGAGGGATCAGAAACTGCCGCCCATTTTTATTGCCTTTGAAAATCAAGAACCTGATTGATCAGGCTGGTACGGTTAATAGCCACCTGGGAAGATTTTATTATAATCACCATATCATTTTCAATTTCAACATCTGTTAATGACTAAGCTGAACACTTGAGGTTACATATAGTTAAATGCCTTACACGTTGCTCATTCAGGGTATCTGACTCATGTATTAATTCACCGGTATTTTGTTTAGCTATTTTGGTCCTCTAGCTCTGTTGGTTCAAGAACAGAAAAATGAAGTGATTCTAGATTTTCAACTTTTAGAAGCTACCAATGTGTCATTTGATGTGCAGAGCAGCCATGCTTTCATTGTGTGCTTATGTCAAATTACTCATTGTTTGTTTTTCTCGTGACTGATAGGAGACTTGTTAGAAGAGTCTCAGACAGAGGCAGCAAAACTTCGGAAGAGGGTGGAGGAGTTGGTGAGGGATAATGAAGTGCTGAAGTCGTCTATGACCAGCTTTGCCTCGAGCCTATGCATGGGTGCCCCTGTTCAGACAGACAAACAAGGTACAGTGTTGTCATTATTCTGAGATTGGTGATGGGTTCGACGCCGGAGAGACCTTTTTAAATCAGATCTTTTGTGATTTTTGGCTCCCTTTAGGTCATGGGAAACTTCGCAGTCATCCTACAGCAGAAAGACAAGAATCTCGGGATTGTTTAACTGGAAATACTTTACAACCAGAGGCAACTGTAAGCAATTCTACTGAATCAATTCTTTTAACAACTTACACAATGATAAAATATGGTTTGAGTTAATATTGTATGAAGCGCATCACGTCACATGCTGTAATGTTGTATTACCAATATAGCTTCGATGATGTAAGATACATTATGCTATATTCATGCGTAACGGTGTGAGAATCTTATAATGGGAATAAACAAGTCTTCCTATTTAAAAAAAACAAAACTGTAGACTATATTTAATGAGTTAATAATATTGTATATGATTACCATAACATGTTATAATGTAGATTTGATGTTGCAAAACAATCAGAATCAGAATGAGCTTTACCTATGTTTGTAAGCACAAGGAATTTGTTTTGGTGACAGAAGAAGCTTCCAGTAAACAAAGACAAAATTGAAATATGAATGAGAAACAGATTTATATAGATGTATGTAAATAAACAAAAATACAAATGCTATATTATATTATATCCACTTATGACAGTTACGAAAATGTGAATTTAACTTTCAGTTTTGTGATTTTCTGGCTGTTTTGGTCCAACTTGAACAGCAAAATATCCCATATGACTATAGCAACACGCATGTTATAATGCGTTAAATTTGCTTCAAAGCTGTGTTACATGTGAATATATCATATTGTTTCACATCATGTTGTGAAAAGCCAATGGGAATGTAACTTGCAGTTTTGTGAATTGCTCATAATTTTCTTCCTTTGGGAACGGTAAAATGCCGTCAGAACATGTGTTGTAACATTGTAATTTCATGTGTTTACAGGAAAGTTCATCGGAGTTTGAGGTGGTGAATATGGAAGAGAAGACACTCTCTGAAACCCAGACGGTGAGTTTTTTAAGGATGTTTGGAAATCCTGGGCAGCGGCAGTCACTCAACTGCACGTGTATGAACTTGTGTGTGTTTTTCTGGATTATTGCTCCGTTTCGAACATTCTGTATTCTGTCATTCTGTGCTGCGGACATAAGTCATGTGACAGATTCCAGTCAGTGTAGTTGCTCAGCTGTTTCTCTCTTCCTTCCTTATCAGAGATTTATTCACTGTAATGAATCAACGTATCTGTATGAGGCTGTTCCTTGGATGACTCAGGGGGAAACTCCAGGATTTAGTTAGTAAGCAGATAGACAAAAAAAACTCATGTGTGTGTGTGTCAGTTTATGGAATATCTCTTTAGTTAAAGTTACAAAAACTTTTATTTGCAAATTGGGAATATTTGTATAAAGGTATTTGAGGATTTTTTTTTTTTTTCACTTTCAGTTTATGGTTTCACAATGCTCTTCTTGATGCCCAGTGATTGGTGTTAAATGTCAGGGGTGTTTTTGAAAAGAAGATTAATGTTAACCCCACTGTCTACAGCAGGCTGGAGTGACGCATCTGCCACAGGAGAACATGGAGCTGGCGAGTGAAATCCAACGACTGGAGAGTTCTTTCAGTGTATTTGCTGAAGAGTCTAATCCCAACCAGCTGCTGGCTCACCTGGGCCGCATGGCGGTGGAGTTCCACCACTTATCATCCAAGGTCCAGAAGAATGAACAGAGAACATCTCTCCTACAGGTGGGCTCATGACACCTTCTGTCCTCTGTTTTGATTGTAATGTGAATTAATCAAAGGTTGATTTGCTGAGTATTTAATTCGCTTTCATCTCTAGACGCTCTGCGAACAGCTCAGAAAGGAAAACAACGAGCTTAGGAAAAAAATGGAGGAGGATCTTCAGTACCGGAACCGTGATTTGGAACAGCTCAGGTAATTTACTTCACATATAATTTTATTTTCAGAAACACGTTCATTCATTTAATCATGGAACAAAAAAAGCCTTATTGTGAATCAGTGAGAAGGATTGGTGTGAGTAAGTTGTGAGAATATCACAACGGGCCAGTATTTCCTGCTGTGCTGGAACTGAGGGGTCTTTCCATCTGATGAGTGTATCAAATAGAGAATAGTTTTTTCCTCATTCATAAGTTTTGATTTTAGTTCTGTGTACTCTGGACAGGCAGGAGAACCTGAAACTGAAGGAGCAGGTCAGCGGAGGAGGCCAGGAAGCACCTATTGAGCAACCAAGTCCCAAAAAGGAGCCAGTGAAAGAGGATGCAGCCAAAACCAAGGTGGAAATGACCATGACTCAGCAGGTGTGCACTTTTTTTGTTCTCTCCATGAACCTTTTTATCTCAGGTGAGATCACCAATCAATTCCTGGTGCTGTTTTAAATTTGTGCTGGGTTTTTTTGTCTTTAATTTCCCTTTCAGACCAGTGATGTTGTGGCCTAGTTGAGTTTCTTTGTGCCTTTTTCAGTCTGAGTTCTTAGAAAAAAATACACAACATACGCATTGTTCTCTGGATTCTAAATTGAGAGGCTTCTTATTGAGTCAGTTTAGGTTTGGGAATACCACTTCGTCTCTGAATACTGCTCTTCCTCAATGGTCTTTCTGGTTAAGTTCCTCATTTGTGGGTTTTTTTTTTCACTGACTAAATATTGAAGAACAATACACATGGTCAATTGTGTTATGTTCTGACTCAACCTCAAGACTACCCTCCTGTAGTGTGATGGGAAAATTCGGATGTACTTTGGTTGGTTGTCGGCCAATTGCTGATTGATTACTTTATGTTATCAGTTTTCAGTTTAAAGTCTGATGGGAATATTTTATGACAATTCAATGGGAAGACAATTCATACTGAGTTTCAGTTATGCTGAAAAGATATAGGATGGATGCAGATTTGGTAATACTTTTTTTGGTCCCACACAGAGCAAGGGATTATACTGTATATTGGTTAAATTATTTTAAAATGTTAAATTCCACTTTCCCTTCATTAAATATTAAAATAAATAAAACCTTAAAAGATAATAATTCAATTAAGTATTTTTCAGTTGAGGTTTATGTTTTTCCAGTGATCATAAAAACAACAACATTAAAGAGCAGTTTCAGATTTTCTTTTGCAAGTATGGCTGTTAGATTAATATAAATCAAAATAATAAATAGATAGAGGCTTTTCTATTATCAGTTTTTATTAAAGTTCAAAGCCCTTTTTTATGTTAACATTTTATTGTTGACTTGGTACCAAAGTACTAGTATTTTGGCCGTACTGGTATTGCCGTTAATTGGTTAATTTCTTCCCAATAAATTTGCAGCCTAGCAAAGCTGTGGAAAAAACACCATCTAAGACTTGCGATCCAGAGGTTTACGAGAAGAAGATCAAGCTTCTTGAGAAACAGAGGAAAGATGTAAGAACTTACTGGAGGTCCCCTGCTTTTTCATGCTGACATTACTACTGTCACAGTTTCCAGTTCGTTTAATTCTGACATGTAATCTCTTGCATTTGACCTTTCTTAGGTACTGGAGGTGAACAAACAGTGGGACATTCAGTGGAATTCTATGAAAGCACAGTTTGAGCAGAAGGTACATGACAAGATATACACTAGAAGCGCTCATAAATATGTTCCAATTGGCCTTGTAACCTTTGTGGCTCACCTTATTGCTGGTAAGCATGACATAAAAACATTAAGAAACATGAATCACTCTACTTAGAAACAACAATTCTTAATGAATCCAACCAGCCAGTGTAGCACATATCAATGGAGGTGGGAGATTGTACCAAATGAATCATCACATGAAATTCCTGTTGAAAGTGAAGGCTGCTGACAGGCCATGTTACTGCATTTGGGTGTTGGTGGAAATGCTGCTGGGTAAAGGAATGGAAAGCTGCTCTGTGTGTGTGTGTCAGAGTGTTGCACACCAGACCACAGGCCCCTCCTGTCACACCTTTGGCAGAATTTCCCTCACCTCGGCCGTACCCACTGTCTTCCTGTTGTGGCTCGCCGTAGGGGCTGGCCAAGGTTGCAAAGCCGCGTGATCTCACAGCTCAGAGATAGTGACGCCTGTTGCATCTCCGCATCTGCTCGGCCTGATAGAAAGAGAAAAAAAATGAATAAAAAAACAAACCGAGGCTGTTTCTCTACACGCATCCTCTGACGTCATGGGGGATCGTGTTAAAATTCAGAGCAGTGGAACTTTTTGTTTCTTCTTTTTTTGAGGTTCTTGTTGCTTTGTTTTTCTTTATAAAATAGATTACAATCCCTTATTAAACTTTTGATTAAAATACACACAAATATTTTTGGCCAGTTCAATGCAGTGCTGTAATTGATGAATTTGTGGTTACTTGGTTTTGTGTTAGTATGTCTTGTGAACAGACGTATCCAATGCTAAAAAAAACTATGAGTCTTCATCACTTTTCTCTCTTTTCCTAGATCACAGACCTACGGCAGCGGCTTGCCGACTCCCAGAAGGCCGTGCTTGAGCTTGAAGCAGAACGTGAACAGAGACAAAGAGATTATGATAAAAAACTCCTCCTCGCAAAGTCTAAGATTGACAATGTGCAGGTACGCCTTACTCTCAACCGCAGACGGCACACCCACAGACAATCAGACCATAATACTTTAAGGTGCAGAGAAATTCTGATTTGAAAGACCAAAAGTTTTCTGGCTAATTTGAATATAACATTTTAATGCCAGCCTATTGTTGTAGTTTCATCCATTTCAGATAAACCTACTACTTAAGGGCATGAAATACAAAACAGCTTTACATTTTGTCTCTTCCTGTATAAGTGGGTGTTTTTGTAAGCAAGAAAAAAAAAAGACCAGTTAATAAACACTTCTTCATGGCCACGTTCACACAGCAACAGAATATGGTTGTCAGTCCTGTATTTGAGTTTTTCAAATTGTAACCTTCACACACAGTACTGTTATTTACTGGAGAGACAACCGCATTCTGTAATCGAACATTTCAGGTCTCAAAATCACATTCTCGGAAAATCCGTGCTGTGTGACAGGAACCGGACTGGACAACTAGTTGTCTGTCACGTCATACAGTGTTAGAGAGCTGCTCTGCGACGCACAAACGCGTGTCTGTCTACCATGTGGTGCGGGGTTTCATGTGTGATTTCTGTAATTTACAGCAATGGAGATAAGAGCATTGCGTCATTATAAAGGTTTTAGATCCCGTCACTGTTCTCCACCGGAGCTTCTCCCATCGGTACTTCTTTCTGAGACTCTTGAGGCTTCAAGTAGTCATTCAGTGCTTTCAGTTTTCAGTTGGGAAGCACCAGTCATTCCCTCTAACTGGGCATATGACATTCTTAGTACACAGTGATAGTTTCCCTTCAGTCCCACAGGGGACAGTCGAGCAAGTGACATATAAACTGCCTTAAAGTTTTATTTAGTCTCATAGACCATGTCATGTGATGACTGGTTTCATTTTCACATCCACGGCCTTCTTATCTGTACATCTCAATGCTCTCATGATTTTTAGTTTATTTATGAGTTATGGACTGCATTACATAGGTTTTGTAAGCATGATCGCCCCCACTGCTGACCACAGATATTCCATAGGTGAGGCCTATACCATTGTGTCTGAGACAGTAGTCACATTTTTTTTAAATTGTGGAGAATGCAGGTTTTAATATTGGGCGCTTCAAAGGTCATAGTTTCATATGGGCTCATTGTCGTGTGAGGTGCTTTGACAGATTGCTTGTGCTGTTAAATACGAGTAAGAGTTGTTTTTTCCCCAGCACTTACCATACATATATCTGTAGATGTTATGTAGTCGAAGTTATGTGATGATTTCCATTTTGCAAAACATCCTTACAGAAAGTGGGTTTCTGTTAAACTTCAAATGTAGCGCAATACTTTTGACAAAGTATGTGTTTTTTTTGTTGTTTTGTTTTTGCAATACAGGAAATTGACTTGAACTTTACCTGAGTAATCAGACATTTATAGATTTAGGTATTAAATTAGTCACTGGTTGCAGACCTGTGACATTTGTAGTAAGATGCCTTCTGTTCAGTGGCGGAAAGAGTACTGAAAAAAAACATTCTCAAGTAAAAGTACCAAAAAATGTAGTGTGAGTAGAGTAAAAAGTACTTGTCCAAAAGAGTAGCTTATTTAAAAGTACCATGAGTAGTGAGTACCAAGCTGTAACATTGTAACATTGTACATACTGTAATTTTCATCATCCTTTTTTCTTTGTCAGAAAGACAAATATACAAACATATATAAAGACTAATATATATATATATATATATACTTATATTTTATATAATTTGATTAGAATATATATATACAGTGTATATATATATATATATATATATATATAGTTGGACATAAAATATCAATGTTCATAACTGTGCAAAAGAATTCAAAAACCTTTAGAAACTCACATGATAGTTCAGAATCACACACAATGAGATGGGTTAAATAGAGAGATTAAAAAATGCCCAATTTTTCTCCAAAAATGTACCAGTTTTTGTGGTTTGGTAAAGAAATGAGAATCACTAATATTATCAGTTTACCTCACCTAATAAACTGAAAAAGGCTAAGACAGTGAGGTAACACTAATTACACGGTATTTCCATGCCATTAAATATGTTACAAATTAGAATTACGATCCAATCACGTTGATGGATAAAAATTATACTGTACTTTAAAACAATGTAACGAGTAATGACCACAAACGGAAGGAAAATAGTGGAGTAAAAGTACCGATACGTCACTTAAAGTTGTGTAAAGTTAGTGTAAAATTAAACAGTTTCAAAAATATACTTAAAGTAAATTTAATAAAATATAAAATAAAAATGACGTACAGTAAGGTTACTATTTGTAATTCGTTACTTCACACCCCTGGATGCCTCTAAAAACAATCCTTCTTTTCACTGTCAGTCAATACACTACATGCAACTGTATATAGATGTATAAACAAGTGACTGTTTTGCTCAGGTGGCTAACCAGTGTATTTCTGTATGTTGTAATAGGGTGAGAAGGAGTGCCTCACCTCAGAGACATGTGAGTTGAAACAAAAGGTGCGTTACCTGCAGGACCAGTTGTTGCCGCTTACAAAACAAAGAGAATACCAGGAGAAAGAGATCCAACGGCTCAACAGGGTCAGTCACAAAACACACATGCATTACACTTCCTAGCCATTTAAATGGAGATTTGCCATTTGACTTATTGTTCTTAAGTTAGGCAGACACTAATCCAACCCCCCTTAGCATTTGTAGGAAAAAATATTTGATAGGGATATTGAAAATTGAGTATTTACTGATACCGAGTCCTGATCGGATAATTGTATTTATACCTAGAGTGCTAGGTGCTCAATTCAAGTACATAATTAAAGTTATTCAAATCAATCCAATGTATACAGGGACGTACAGAGAGTTTCTCAGGGAGAGGGGCTCAAAATCATCACCACAGAGTCATTTTAATATAACAATTACTGCAGTCCCGTCCAAAAGTTTGGAATCAGTAAGATTTTTTTTATGTTAAAGTCTCTTATGCTCACCCAGGCTGCACTTATTTAATCAAAAATACAGTAAAACACACAGTAAAATACAGTTATTGAGACGTATCATTACAATTTGAAATAATTGTTTTCTGTTTGAATATAATTCAGAAATGAATACTTTTATTCTGCAAAGCGAACGATTCTAATGTGCTGATTTGATGCTGAAGATGCATCAATGTTGAAAACAGCTGTGCTGCTTATTATATTTGCTTTGGGATTTCTGATTGGGATGTGTCTTTTACAGGCATTAGAGGACGCTTTGAACCTCCACTCTCCTGCTTCCACCCAACCAGGCATGAACCTGGGAGAAGGTGTGGCCAACCTGAGACAGCAGGAGCTGCACACACAGATAGCTGTTTTGAAGGAGCAGGTACAAACACATGGAGACTTCATTTGGATACTTCCTTGTCTGACGTTAATTGAACAAGTGGAGACTTTGTGACCTGGGACCAGTATTCAATTTGGGACCAGACTAAATGTATCAAATCAAATGCATTAAAATTAATATATTTTGTGTGTCTGATACAACACGGTGCCTTGCTGGGGTCAGATGAGCTCAAATAGAGAATGAGCTCTTTGAGACACACGAGTTTTCTTATTGCGTCAGATTTTGAGGTTCTTTAGGAGTTATTTCACTCATTGAAACTTTACGTGAATTGATTCCGAGTCTTTTTTTACCTCATCTATCAAACACGATTTGTAAGAAATGAATGTCAAGGTTCCATGGTGAGTCATACTGTTTGCTTGAGGTTCGATAATAGATAGTCGTACAGTCTGCTGAATGAACCAATGGCTGCAGAGACCTTGTAGAGCTCCATTCTCATCACATGCATTTTTCTCAGGTGAAAATCTTTGAAGAGGACTTCCGGAAGGAGAGGAGTGATAGAGAGAGGATGAACGAAGAGAAAGAAGATCTGAGGCGGCAGGTGGAAAGGCTGCAGGGTCAAATGACCAATCTGACAAACCAGGTCAGAAGCTACTCAGACCCTGCATAGAATGTCAGCTCTAACCAATGAAATTACTTCAGAAAAATGTCCAATTAGTTAATAATGAGACGTGAAAGAGTCCTGAATTCAGTGTCTCTGTTTCACAGCTTCATCAAGCACAGAATGAGTGTCAGAGAGAGCGTGCTGAGAGGTGTAAACTGGAGAGACTACAGATGCAACATAAGCAGGTAACTCAAATGCACCACATTAGCACCACCTTGTGGTAGAAACTCTAATAATGCTGTTAATACAGATTACAGATGTTTCATTCCCTTAAGTGAAGACAACTGGAACTCATTTAGATTTTGGTTTTCCATGTTTTGGAGGGGCAACAAGAAAGGAGGACGTCCGATCCCACTTCTGGCTCTGCCAATGGCCCGATAAGCCCTCCGTACTGTGGCCCCTTTGTACAGGTGGGCCATCAAGGCCTGGAGGGGTGGCCCATACACTTCCCGCCCAGGATGCCTAACATTAGTACGGCACCTGGCAGGGATTTCCAGCCTGTCAACCCTGTAAGTATACAATAGCAATAGCAGTAAATAAGAATGCAACAGTCGGAAGTAAAAACTCGATTTGCACGCGATAACACCCTGACCTGTCGGCGAGGTCAACGATTTGCAAATCGGGCATAAATCGGGCTTAAAATCCTGTAGTGTGAACTTGGCTTTATAATGAATTTGTTATCCGTTTTTTAACAGTGGAATTCATGGTGAAAACATTACCCATGATGCTGTACAGAATCAAATCAATGCATATATCAAATCGAAATTTGATTCATGGAATGCTATGATTTATCTCGTAGCTGGTTGGCTTGGTTCATGGCTTCTATCAAAAACATTTTTGAAATCCTTATTGGAGAAATGAATGGAAATAATACTTCCATTATTTCCAAAAAAAGTGGGCAGGCACTGGTGCACTCTGTTGATACCACAGTCTTATTTAAATATTACTGAAGAAATTAAATCATCCTTGACATATTTACTAATTAATTAAGCATTGCTTTAAGTTTGTTCAGTTATTCAAGTAAACAATCAGTATCATAGAACAAATTAAGCATCACTGCAACCTTTATTTTTGACCAAGAAGAGCATTTTGGTATTTGTTTAAATTAACTTAATACTGAAATACAAGTTCACTTCACATGCCTATTGTCCATACACTAATATCATCACTTTGTTTTTTTGTTGTTGTTTTTTGGGCTTTTTCAATGGAGCTTAGTTCGATTAGGGATGGAAAATAAAATTTAATGCAATTTTTGCTGATTTTTTTTTCTTCCTTCATATCCTGGAACAGCACAATAGTGTCATTCCAGCACTTTCAAGTGGTTAACTGTATGTGGTATGAAAAAGACGAACAGGATTTTACGAGAGGTTCAATGTGTCTTCTTTAGTATGCAGAAGTGGACAGAGTTAAAAACTGTTGTTCTCTACTTGTCTTTGTAACTGTAACGATTTCTTCTTTCGTGTGTGTGTGTGTGTGTGTGTTCAGGGTTTTCCCTGGCAGTCATCTTTCCCACAACCGCGTGGTTCCAGAGGACAAGCAGACACAGCGAGACCCCCTCCAGAAACTGCAGGTATAAATTATTCATCCTCCGTGTCCTTTCTGCCCTCTTTCATTCTTTCTGCGTCACCAGGATCCATTTTGTTTTGCCACACAATATCAGTCTGACCCAGTGATATTTCAAGCATTCTGTCTGAATCAGTGAGCTTCCACTGGAGGCAGTTCAAATGATGACGACAGTGAGAGCCATGACAGAAGAAACATGAAATGGCAATAGCTTTAAATTTCATAATGATTGTACAAGGCCTATGAAGTTTAGTTTCAGTTTGGGTTTATCTGATATTTCTATCATCTACAGGCATGACATATAAAATGACGCAATTTGCTTTCCATTTGCATCATTTATCAGTGTAAATTATTGATGAAAATGTTTGTTTACCACAAATGTCGCACTTCAACTCTGAAACATCTTTCCTTCTAAATTGATAATTTTGAAAAGATTTTACCAATTATTTTCAGATTAGTTGTCTCATAGCCCAACTTTTTTTTTCTGCTGAATATTCTGAAAATGCTTGATTAGTTGTCAGACATAATAGTATATTATTCATTTATTTCAGTTAAATTGTTCATTTTTTAATGCAAGCTACTGGTCAAAAGTGTGGATTGTTTTGGCTCATTTGTTTGATCAAAAATACAGTTAAAAACACAATATGATTAAATATTATTACAAAATAAGAGTTTTCTGTTTTAATCCATTTTAAAATGTAATTTATTCCTGTGATGCAAAGCTAATTTTCAGCATCATTATTACTCCAGTCTTCAGTGTCACATGATCCTTCCGAAATCATTTCAATATGCTGATTTGCTGGTCTTTTGAAAATTCTGAATGTTGAAAAGAATATAATTGGACCGTTTTTAAACTTAATCATTAATGAAATCAGTTTACATATCATTAATATACATTACATTTATTTACATTTCGGACACCGATCATGATCCATCTAGTTATTATTCTGTAAAAAAGGTCAGTAATGATTTCTCATTTATAAAACTTTATTATTATTATAATTTTTTTCTGGCAGAAATGGGAGCAACTGGATTTGGGAAAAGGGAGCGTCAGAACATAGATCCCGGAAAGCACTAAACGCATATTCTATCTCCTGGAATGGCTCCCGGCTAGTAGCATGATGCAGTTTATTTTCAGTTGGCATGGTGTGAACTATTGTTTTGTTTTTTTGTTTTCTTCCTACTGTGTATATATATATACCACTGATGAAAATGTTGTTTATATACTTAAGTTTTATAATCCTGTTTGTGAAACACTGTTCTGGCAAATTAAGAATATATACAATTTATTATTTTACCTTTTTATTATTGTTGAAGTTTTAAATTATCTGCTTTATATAATTCTATGCAGGAATTGAAGTCAGTTATTTAATGGATAATATGATTGAACATTATTTTTTATAGCAATCTACCTATAGAGTTAAATCTCCCCAGCTTAATTGAATAACCACCACCTGAAAACGGTATATTTAGTGATTCCCTGACATATAAGAATGTGTTTTGATATTGATGCATCTACAAAAACGTAACTCTATAGGTGAATTGTCTTGAAAATGGCTAACGGTTGAATGTGACTGAACTGATTCATGATTCCTTCATTGGCCGTGTTTGGGATGGTCACACACCGTCTGCGTATGCCACCACAGGGTGGCGTTACGCTCTGACTGGTCATCTGTCCCATTGCTTAAGGAAGCCATATCCAGTACAACACCTTTCCATCTATTAGATTATGTTCTTCACATGGCTTGTTGATCTTTCAGATATTAGGATTGTAATTGAAATAATTGATCAAGGAGGGCCTTCATCAGCTCCTAGTAAATGGTCGCCAGAAGTAGTTTTGCTTAATATTGTTCATGATTCAGTGTTCAAAAACATTATTCCAAATGGAAGTGATAAGTTATTTATATCTATTGTTTTGACAGCCGAGTGTGGTTTAATGTCTTAAGTAATGTTGTCTTTAGTGTATTGTTTTGTGTCTCCCTTTACATATTGTAGCTACTGGAAGATTGTAGGATTTGAGTTTGTGTGTTTCACAGAAAGTGGGCCAGAATAAATAAGTTAATGCATCACATTAGTCCAGCCCACTTTTCATTGCTCTCGTTCTTGATCAATCACTGGATGTCTAATTTATAATGGGTCCAATGTTGCACTCAAAAGCATTGTAACATGTTTGGAACAAAATGATCTGGGTAAGAGTAATATCCTTTATCCTTTTACGGTCATCCGCCATCATGAAGGCTGTTTTTTCTGGATGTGTGCAGTCCGTGTCTCCAACTGCAGAGACCAGTGCTTTGAACCGAACGCAAAAAGGTTTGTATGCTCACAATATTCCCAAAGGCGAGCAATTAACTTGCTTCAAAAACGTGTAATATTTGACATTAGACAGGTACCGGTATTTATTTTCTGAATATGTGGTTGAATTTAATGAACAGAACGAGTTAAGGTTAGTGTTTTCAACTTGAAATGTCTTTGCTCATTTCCATGATTTCCTGGTTGGCGGTTTTGTTTTTTTTCCAGTGGGTGAAAGCAGATCTCATGTGAAACTTTTGTAATTGATTAGTATAATAAATATATTCTAACTGTCTAATCCTCTAAATGTTTTTGTGTGAGAGTTAAACTACAAATTTACAAGCCAGTTGAATTCTTATATCCCTGAAGTGCATTAACCAGAGGAAAACATTTTGTGTCTTGCATTACAGTCTTTATTTACGGAGCATACGCGGAGCAATGGCACAGATGCGGCAGCAAGTTCAAAGGATAGTTTAGGAGACGAGACATGTTTGAAAAGGAACAGCGGAGCAGCCTGAATGCACTAAAGAGCTGCCCGCTGGCCCTCGGCCTCAGGTCAGGCACCACAGAGTCTGTTTTCAAGCCTTCCCGTCATCAACATGCCAGTCTCCAAACTGATCCCATGACAGCTTCAGGAAAGAACAGTCTGAGAATCCTTTTACTTCCGATTTATACTCTTCATATTCTTGTAACAATAATCCAATTCACAAAGGGTTACATTATTAAACTACAACACGTTATCTCGCTTAAAGGAGTAGTTCACTTTTAAAAAAAACTTTTGCTGATAATTTACTCACCCCCGTGTCATCCAAGATGTCCACGTCTTTCTTTCTTCAGTCGAATAAGGTTTTTGATGAAAAAATTACAGGATTTCTCCATATAATGGACTTCATTGGGAACCAAATGGTTCAAGGTCCAAATGAGAGTTTTCTAGGAGAGTCTTATCTAGGACCCTTCGAGTCATGACTCGAAAAAAGATTTGTTCGTTTTGATGAACGAGTTTGAACAGGAGAGTCACGAACGCTCATCACAGAACAGAGCAGGGCGAGCATTTGTGCTTATAAAACTTAAACTTTTTAATTTATTTTTTAAATGAGCGATCGTTTCACTAGATAAGACCCTGATTCATCGTCTGGTGTCGTTTAAAACCGTTTGGTTCCCATTTAAGTCCATTATATGGAGAAAATCCTGGAATGTTTTCATCAAAAACCTTAATTTCTTTTCGACTGAAGAAAGAAAGACATGGACATCTTGGATGACATGAGGGTGAGTAAATTATCAGCAGAAGTTTTTTTTTTTAAAAAGTTAACTATTCCTTTAACTAGTTTAACACAGTTTATGCTGGAAAGAGAAAGAGAAAGAGAGAGAGAAATAGAGGGGTGAATGTACAGCTGAATCCACTCTTTCAAAGTTAATCAGCCTTTTGTACAAGCTGACGAAAGTATTTCAAGATGTCTGCCCTAACTTCAGATACGTTCACTCGGGGAAACCACCTCATTACAGGTCTGCCGTCTGGCCCCACCAGAAACTTCTCAAAGTTCCACTTTATGTCGTTGATCTTGAGAGGATCCCAAAACAATCTGTTGGTGTTACCGAAACTTTCTCCCACAGGAGGGCAAGCATTCTGAAAGAGAAAGTTCTACATGAAATCTGTCCGCCTTCCTGCCACGATAAGTATTCTGTCCCTTCTTGACCCCAAAAGTATTTACAAATTAACATTTAAATAGTAACATTTAAAAATGATTGTCTTTGAATTGAATTACAAAATAACATAGAAATTAAATGTTATACACTCATTAAAAAAATGAGTTTGTATAAACTCAGGTATTCTAGACTCAATTTTAAAGAACCATTTATGCCAAAAAGTACAGAGACACTTTTTTTGTTCCATTGTCGTCGTTCTCGCCCCCCCAAAAAAAAAGTCATGGTTTTTGTGTCCCCTCAACTTTTGCATTCTCCCAAGAAACTTTACTTTTGTGAGCGAACATCTCGCAGAACAGAACGCAATAGCATTGAAATATTGAATTAATATATTGAAATAAAAAAGTCTCAGATGATTGAATAATAATAATTTCATGTTTCATGGTTATTTGGTATTGTTTCTAGTGATAATGTGTTTATGAAATGTTTAATTGGTTGTGTAATTTAAAATAAAAATGAATTAAATTCATAAAATGAACCCCGCAAAAAAGTTTTAAATAGAACCTTTATAAATAATATTTATTTTAAAGACAACACAAGCACACTTATCTATAGCTAAACATATTGATATTGATAATAAATGGCATGTCAAATATAATATAAGTGGACTATATTGGTGCTTACATATCAATCATTTTGTTGTACCTGAGAACTTTTGGTCCTAATGGGATTTTCTTTAGCAATTTCAGATAGATTTCAAAATATACTTTATTAAGCAATGACCAACCTTTAAAAATGTGAAAAGGGCCTGTTCATTGTCTCCATTCACATCCACCTTCTCAAATAACGGGAAGTTTGGAACAAATCCATTGCCTGGACGAACATACCTATGAAGACAAGGAGAAATTTGTTTCATCAAGAGTCTGTCTATAAGGAAAACAGATAGGGACTTCAGAGAGCCAAGACCAGAGACGTGGCTTCGGATATCACTCCAGAAAAGTGCCTTTAGGTTTAAGATATATGATACGTGCAGTAATTTAAAGGGGATGATGGATGAGGACTAGGTAATTGCACACTGTCTGATGCTCAGATTGTTGTGACTCATGAGAGATGACCAGTAACTTCAAGGTTAAAATAATCTTGAGAAACCCCCAGTGTTCTTTTTTAGAAGAATGCATTCGTATTAAAAATTGAAGAGTCATTTATATATATTATTATATAATAATATATATTATTATATATTTATCTTGCAAAATCATTTTTTTTAACTGCACCATGTCAATATGTGTGTGTTTTATCCAGTGCTATTTTAGTATTATTTATATACTATATACTAGTATTTAATAATATTTTTAGTAAGCTTTTATTTTTATTTTTTCAGTTTTCATTTTGGTTTAAGTTTTAGTACCGGTAATGCTAGTTTCATAACCACATTTAAATGTCTCTGTTTTGACAACATGACTTTAACTTTTTTATCCTCCAGTTTCACAGACAAGGCTTACGTCTAGTCTCAGACTAAAATCCATGTTTGGTCTGTTTTAACTGAAAGCAACTATGTGAGTGCCATTGTTTTGTCTCAAGATCCACATCAGTAATGTTTTATAGGCACATTTATAAAAGCTACTTAAATGTCCCAATTGAACTAAGGCCTAATCCTGGCTTGATTAGTTCACTTTTCAAAAAACTTTTGCTGATAATTTACTCAACCCCGTGTCATCCAAGATGTCCATTTCTTTCTTTCTTAAGTCGAAAAGAAATTAAGGTTTTTGATGAAAACATTCCAGCATTTACTGGTAACCAAACGAATCTTTTTCCGAGTCAATTTCGTTCATTTCGTTCGTTGAATGAACCAAATGACTCTGAAAAAGATTCATTCATTTTGATGAAGGAGTTCGAACCCAGTCTATGGTTCGAACAGGAGACATCTTTTTTGGATGACATGGGGGTAAGTAAATTATCAGCAAATGTTTTTTTCAAAAGTGAACTAATCCTTTAAGATTTTACTTTGAAATATAGACTTTTTACTTTTTTACAATGAACTCACTTTAATGCAGGAAGAATTTCATTATTGTCTCCAGGCTCTTGTTTCCCAAACTGGTTGCAAGGGAACCCGAGGATAGTGAATCCAACATCCCGGAACTCCTCGTGTAGTGCATTCAGTTCTGAAAGCATAAAACTCACAGTTATCAATAACAGGTTTAGTATTTGCTCTTCAAGCTTTCCTGTCATGAGATGTGTCAAGTAAATATGTGCACATAAAGATAAATAAATTATGTTTGTATATAGCCTACTAATATTTGTGTTAAGTAAAATAATTTGCATAAAAAATAATAAAAATAACTTGCCTACATACTGGAAGGTGAGTCCTCAGTAGGTGGCCACATTGACAATGAGGACATGCTTCCCAGCGTAATGGGAGAATGGGATGTACTGGGTCCCATTTATGGTTTTTGCACCATATTTGTGTATACTGTCACCTACACCTGGGTTACAGACCTGACACAGACAAACATAAATTCAAACTATATATATTTTCATATGTTCATAAAATCATTCATGAAAAATATACCTCTATTTTTTTAAAATAAACTCATACTTTCATTCAGCAAAGATGTATTCAATTGATTAAAAGTGTCAGTAAAGACATTTATTATGCTATTAAAAAAACCTTTTCAAATAAATGCTTTTCTGTTGAACTTTCTATTCATTAAAAATCGTTCCGCAAAAAAATATTAAGCAGCACAACTGTTTTCAACATTGATAATAATACCAAATGTTTATTGAGCCGCAATTCAGCATATTAGAATGATTTCTGATGGATCATGTGACACTGAAGACTGGAGTAATGATGCTGAAAATTCAGCTTTGCCATCACAGGAATACATTAGATATATATATATATATATATATATATATATATATATATTAATAAGATTTCACAATAGTAGGCCTAGCATTATTTTCTATCTAATAAATGAAGCCTTGGCCAGCATAAATGACTTTCAAAACGTGTACAAATCTTCACACTTTTGAACAATATTAAACACGAAGTGAAATCATTATTCAAACTTTGCAGTGACCTTTGTATTATCACTAAAAATTGTGAAATCCCAGACATTCAGGTCCTAATATTATCCAATCTAAAAGTTATATTTTCAGAATAGAAATGTTTTAGGATTATATCACCTTGAAGCTGTAGTAGTGGGGTTGCAATGCCCTGACAAAGTAAATATTTACCATGACTTGGCTTTTGCTGTTTGGTATTTGATAAGAAATGAGCATGATTCTTGTATTTTCTCTTCATTTATTTATTTATTTTTTCTCTCAGTTACTGTAGCAACCTGTGCACCTGCTCCTGATGAAAACAGTGCGCACTAAAACACACTGAAATCACATTATAGTTTGTTGCTTTAATAATCAATGCCATGTACATTAATTCAATGAAAATATATTCCTTAAACTAATGCTCTATGCTGCTATTTCATTCCTTTGAGCAATCCAATGTTACTCAAACTAAAAACTGTATATTAAGTATGTGTCTGTCTATCTTACCTGGGTATCGGATAGTCCGCTGACTTGCTGTAAAAGAGCCACCAGGACCAGAGCAGAGATCCAGATATTCTTCTGGTTCCCCATGGCCTCTGTAGGGTGTCTGTGTGTCGTCTGAATGAAGCGTGCCTGTGCTGGAGATGAAAAGCACTGGAGGAGAGTGACGCAGACAAGCCCGTCATATCACCAGCCTCATCCCACATATTTACATAGTGAATACATGCATGAGCACTGTTTATCACAGCTCTAACCTGCCTTAATTTTTTTTGTAATGTAATTTCAATTTGTCGTTTGATTAACAGAATTGTGTTTCAAAGACTTGAGGCTAAAGTCATTTGCTTGTTAGTGGTGAAATGTTGAGTTATTTTTGGCAACAGTCTTTCAACAGCTCATCGGGAACACTGATATCACAAAAGCACAAAAGGTTATTTTACATGCATGTGAACAATTTGACTTCAGCTCTGCATTGCCTAAATAAATATTCTTTTTAGTTTATCTTAATAAATAGTTGTTTGTATTTATTAAATGGACATGCAACTTTTAATTTTATTTTATTGAGCTTTGTATGCATTTAATTAAACTGAAATTAGAATTAAAAAACATAAAGTTTGATTGTGGATTTTAAATAAAATTTTTAATGCCACACGTAACCCGCAACTTATAATTAAAACTAAAACCATAGCCATAAAACCATGTTGCTCGAACGAAAATAAACGGTAGTTTGAATAAAATAAAATATATAAAAAGTTCAATTTGTTTCATTTCAGATATTGTCGGGTTAACATTTCGCATTTTCAGTTAGTTTAACTTGATGTACTGAAACAGCTAAAACTAAAACTGAACTAAAATTTAATAAAAACTATATATACTAAAATGAAAACAGAAATGATAAAAATAACTTTTAAAATATGTATAAAACTCAATTACATTAAAATAACACTGCATTCAACATATAAGAAAGACATCGTTCTCCCTTCCTGTGTGCCAAAGGCCTTTTCAAATGCATGAAACAAATTTTAATTATATATTTTTTGTTTTTATTTGTTGTTTGACATTGTTCCAAAAAAAAAAAAAACTCAACTTGACTTGACTCAACCCTTGCTTACTGTATCTCCCTCTTCACATGAAGTCCCAGTTTTGTAGAGTTTACTTCGGCTCCCTGTGTGTGTTAAAATGTATTTTTTTATGGCATACTGGCCCACAAAGCACTACATTGCAGCTTCATGTTACTGTTGTTTTTATTTTATTTTATATGGCATCAGGTGCCCTCAGATCATCTCATGTAAGCTTCTGAAAGTATCAAAGGTTAAGCTCAAGCATAGTGAAAGTGAAGTATAGTGAAGTGGCAGCTTTCAGCTATTATGTGTCTATGGAAGCTTACAGATATAGCTTTTATTTTATGTATGCATTTTAAACTTTGCTATTTTTACATCTAAATACAATTTCATTATTTTTCCTAAACTATAGCTGAAGCAATGACGCAAAGGATACACACGGGCAGTGCAAACTCAAATGCATTAAGTAACGTTAGTCTACATATTCTTATAAAAAATAGATACGAATCAATTTAATGGTAAGAAGAATCCAAGGATTACAGAGCAGTTGTTATATCCTGTCAACAGAAACAGGTGTCTGTCTGACTGACTGCCTGCCTACCTGTTTGATTAAACTGTTTGCAGAACAAATTACTCACTCGGTGGATTAATGGATCTTTTGCGTTAGCTAACACAAACTTGACGTTTATCCAACTGGACCATGCAGCAGCTATTTCTTCTAAGCTGACAATTCTTGTGGAAGGAAAAAAAACGTATAGGCATATCATGCATAAAACAGCTAAGACATCCTAACAAAACAGACTGGAAAATACGGTATTCTGGAAAATGTATACAACAGTGTGAACAGCAGGGGCGCTGTTGACATACAAGCAGGAAAGAAATGATCAAGTATGATGACGTAATCGTTACGTAGACAGCAGGAACTCAGTCAGAAATGGCGACGCTTCTGCAGCCAGAGAAAGTGGTTTATCTCGTCCGAGGCGAGAAAAAGATTCGAGTTCCGCTCTCTCAGCTATATTTTTGCCGATATTGCAGTGAGCTGAGATCCTTGGAATGCGTGTCACATGAAGTAAGTAACGCGGGGTGTGACATTTAGTGAACAACAACAGATGTTAGCCGTGCCATAAACGAGCTAACAGGCTATTGATGATAGTATTGTACCGCCCATCTGTCCAAGTGGAACGATTTTGGGGCCTGTGATTGGCTAGTTTTTCCATCCGTCATAAATTGTACTTCAATTGCGTTATCTAATTGGTTGTAGAACCGGTCAGTTAACTTCTGTACGTCCCACTTTTTATGATATTTGACAAGCTAAAAGCTAGTAGGAGAATTCTGAATGAAATTGAAATATCTGCAGTTTGCCTTTATTTACATTATACACATATGCAGATTATAAGATCAAAAAGGTTCGACAATCAATGTTTGCAGCACCCATTCGTGTTATTTTGAGGGCATAAACACTACCACACCCCGTAAAGACAGATGAAATAGTTTATGATTATTATTATACTTTAGCTAAAGTAATGTGTGAATTTTTCCACTGGCACCAGATAAGTTCCATTTAGCCTTTCTGTCAGTACGTTACAACATAAAAGCAAACAAATGCAATTACTTGTCTTCAAATTGTGTTTTGATGTAATGCCTGTTCTATAGGTCGATTCCCATTTCTGTCCCAGCTGTCTGGAGAACATGCCGTCAGCTGAGGCGAAGCTCAAGAAGAATAGGTAAACCACATCTGTGCTAAATTTCTGACAGACCTGTGGGTGAATAACGGCAATGATTTTAATCATCTAACTGAACATCATCTGTGATTTAACTTTTATCATTGCCTTGTAAAATGCTTTATAATTTTTTTTGCATGAAACTGGCCACTTTTCTCCCTAATCGGGATTTTGAGAATAAATTGACTATAATGATATTCAATTGTCACATGAATCGTCTTTCCTTGTAAATATGTTCTGTATGATGCATCGGTTACAGGTGTGCCAATTGCTTTGACTGTCCATGCTGTATGCACACCCTCTCCACTCGGGCCACCAACATCCCAGCACCACTGCCTGATGACCCCACCAAAACCACAATGAAGAAGGCCTACTACCTGGCCTGTGGATTTTGTCGCTGGACCTCAAGAGATGTAGGCATGGCTGACAAATCTGTGGGTGAGTCCTGGCACTTCCTAACGTGGACATGTGTACCATCATTATGATGTTGCATTTATGTTGGTTAATTTCACACATACTATAGACCTGCATAAACATCTGTTAATGTTCTGTCAAGAAGTGATGCAACAGATTTCCTGAATCAAGTAATTTTATTCCCCACACTCCATGTGAAATAATTTGCAAAGGGTATTAATTGTAACTAATCACAGAATATGCTTTTTTTTTAATAATTGGGATTTTGGGACAATTATATTTCACTCTGGGCTGGAACAAAACAGAGATAGAACCAAAATACCAAAAATGTGGGAGAAAATATTGAAATGTTGAAGAGAAAGGACTTTTCACTTGTTGCTTTGTGCCTGGTTTGAACATTTGAGTCTGTTTGTAATACAACTTTGCTCTTTTAATTTTTTTAGCCAGTGGAGGATGGCAGGAACCTGAAAACCAGCATACCCAAAGGGTATGTGCAAAACCAGCTCTCCTCTTATTACATTGATATTACATTTTCAATATCACAATGTAGTTGACAAATCAGTTATGATTTCTGTTTAGATCAACAAGCTGATCGAGTATTACCAGCAGCTGGCCCAGAGAGAGAAGCTGGAGAGAGACAGGAAGAAGCTGGCACGAAGACGCCCTTTCATGCCTCAGGCGTTCTCGGTACACATTCACACTGCTGTGTCTAGAAACACCCTCCTAACCTAAAATTTACTTTCCAGTTAGCAAGAACTAAACGGGTGTGATCTGTCTTGTCTAGAGACTAAACTTTGGCTAAGTCTAATTGAAAAACAGGAAAAAATATATTCAGTAACCGTACTAATATTTTATTTTGTGTGCGTTATTTCATTGTAAAAATTACTAATGAATTATAAAACATTTGCATTAAATATCCATCAATGCTGATTAAGTCAACTAATCCTAGCAGAGTCTGAAATGTTACTACATAATAATTTTCCTAATGTTTGCTGCATATATACAGTACATTACCATTTACAAGCTTAGGGTAAGATTTTTTTTTTTGATAGATACTGTTATTCACCTAGCATACTTTTAATTGATCAGAAGTGTAAGTGAATACATTTATAATATAACCAACAATTCAATTTCCAATAAAAACAGTTATTTTTTTTTTAAATAATACTTCACTGTATGACTTTATTTTTGATCAAATAAATGCAGCCTTGAAAAGCATAAGAGACTTCTTTTAAAAAATCTTACCAACCTTAAGCTTTTGAATGGTAGTTCAAGGAATAATTGCTTCAGATAGATAATTTCTAACCCTGTAATACATGATTAGGTACTTTGAGCTGCATGTCTGGTTTACTAATTTAATCTTTTTTTCCTTGTGCTTCAAACTGCCACTTTAATGTTTGCATGAATGCATTTGTTTCACTTGATTCTGTCTCTCTCCTTTTCTTTGCTTGTGCACGGTGATATTTTTGGTTTTATACCCTTCTCCAGCAACACACTATTCACGTGGTGGTGAGTGGTTTTTATTTTCCCCCACAATTCTTACAGAAACACTAAGAAGGTCTTTCTTTTCGCCCAATCCTTCCATCAGCATTTAGCATGTCTAATCTGTTACTAAATGACTACGCTGATCACATGAGCGTCACTATTGCTACTTGAAATTCTCTGCATAATCGAATCCTTTGTGTTTGGCAAGTGATATTTTTAATGGGACAATTGAAGTGAGTTCTGGTTGTATTTATGTTTGGAGATTATTAATGATGTTTTAAGTTTAGCTGCAGATGTATTTGATTATAATGATGATTAGAAAAAGAATAGTATTTCTGTAAATTAAAGAGGCAATCTTATTTCATTCAGAATCCATCAACCACTTTCTTGGGAAGCAAGCTTTTGGATAACATTTTGTGCTTAAACTATGTTTACTATTACCACGTGTAGTGTACCATCACAGCAATCACTATGATGCTTTAATAATTAGCAAGTCTGATTAGTATGAACTGATGTGGTCTATGTTTATGTCTTAAAGGAGAAGTATGGACTGGGAACCAGACTACAGAGACAGAGATCTGGAGCCCCAATCAGTGCCCTGTACGGCCTTTCGTAAGTATCGTGTTTAAAAATCAAATCCACTGCTTGGTGGAGTTTGTTATGGCAGGGGTATTTATGTGGAGTACTGAGATAATTGATGCATCACATTTTGTCACAAGTGGTCCAATTATGCTTTTTCGAATATAACCTTTCATGTAGTGTGTAATATAGATGTTTGTGAATGTAAAAGATTCAAATGCAAAATTCAAGAATGCATTGTCTCCTAAAAGAAAGAATTGATTTTGAACTACCGAAATCAATGAGTCGTCAACTATTCCAGTTAACAAATGTGTATAATGTCAGCCTATGGTCTTTATTGGCTGCCCACGAACAATATCTACACTTGTGTGCTGAGGCCTGTTATGAACATGTCCAGAAGATGCTATTTTCAGGGCTGTGAATTCACTTTGCATGCACTTAAAAAGTATGAGAACTCGTGCTGGAATTGATACTGAAAAACCATCACCTTTGGAGCTGAAATTCAGAAATGGTAATGGCCAGCTTGCGTCCGACCCGCACTGTAAGCGGTAAACCAATCACAATAGACTAGGCTGTCTGACCAATCAGAACAAAGTAGGCTTGTTGAAAGGTGGGGTTTAGAAACACTGAATCTCTTGAAGAAATTAGGTGATATGCACTGTGTATTAGGAGAAGTGTTTTTTTTTTTTCACCTTGGATGCATGTAAACGTATTATATAAGACCTCCAAAACAAAATTAGGGACCTTTAAAAATAGCATAATAGGGACACGTTAAATGATTGTAGACATTGTCTATATGATGCTGTATTATTTTCAGATTAAAAGAAGGAGAGGACCAGAAGGAGATCAATATAGAGCCAGCACAGGCTTTGGATGAAGTGGAGCCCCTGCCTGAAGACTATTACACCCGCCCTGTCAACCTTCCTGAAGGTTGGTCTCATCCCTGCTTCACCCAGTTATACTACTCAATTACTTAATTAATCCAATCCAAAATAGTGCAGTGATGGCAGGTACAGCCACATAGATCCATACTCACAGGTGGCAAAAATCCATATCATAGTATTCAAAATTCAAAATTATATGGTTTCACGGTATATGACGGTATTTTTTATTTCCTTAGCATGAGTGGGTTAACCACATTTTCTACTGATTGAGAGAGTAAGTACTTCAGTAGATTGACTTGGAATACCCTATTTTACTGTCATGAGTGAATATTGTAGAAAAAAATCTATCAATTTTTTTAACCTAAATTTAACCTATCCATCTTCACAGTCACGCTAAGTAACACGTGCATCACTACAGAGTCCAAGAGTGAAAAGGGGCCCTCTCAAACTGTGTTGCGCCATGCTGCGTTCCGATTGTTATTATAGCGTCATACACCGGTATAGTGAAATATAAAAAATTCATATCATAACAAAAAATTAACACTAGTATTCGGTATGAACCGATATATACCGCCCAGCACTATGTTCAGGGTTACTTTTACTTAAGATTAAATGTGTAAAAATTGTAATTTATATAATTCAACCACATTAGTCTTTCTAAGGCAAGATACCAAACCTCACCAAATAAATGTTTTTTTTGTGACTGGCTTGATTATTTGATGCAGATTTTCAACATGGCTTGTGTGTTTCAATGCAGTAACGAGTCTTCGCCAGAGGCTGTTACAGCCTGATTTCCAACCTGCAGGAGCTTCACAGCTGCACCCCAGACACAAACACCTGCTAATGAAGCGCTCTCTGCGTTGCAGGGTACGTAAACACATCCAGCTTCTCTTTCACTGCAAAAAAAAAGCTGCCGTTGAATCACTGCGCTGAAATCTTTCAGCCTGTTTTCTTTTATATACATTAGCTTCTCTTTAGATTCTTTGAATTTTTAGCAAGTTAAAATTGATTTGGAATAAAACATTTTTGGGTCCCACTTTATATTAAGTGGCTTTAAGTACTATGTACTTACATCAAAAAATAAGTACAACGAATTATTGTGTTCCTGTTGTATTGTAACACTTTTGCTGCTATTGAGGTGTGATACGGGTAAGGTTAGGGACAGGTGTGGTGGTATGGGTCGGTTTAAGGGTGGGTTAAGGTGCAAGGGTGTAATTACAAATGTAATTACATAAATTAATTACAGCTGTAATTACATGCAGGTATTTTTAAAATGTAAGTACAATGTAAAAACATGTATGTACACAATAAGTCCATTGTATTAAATTATTAATTTCAATGTAAGTACATAGTACTTAAAGCCACTCAATATAAAGTGGGACTCATTTTGGTCATATTGTAAAAAAAAATAAAAATAAATTGAATGCATCTTTGATGAATAAAAGTATTCATTTTTTCAAAGTTCATTCGTTTTATTTGTATTTGACTGCCGTGAGCAAGGCTGCAGATCTATTATACAGTTTAAAGTGCAGTTAACGACTGTTTTTCATTATTTCATTTCAGAAATGTGAGCACAATCTGAGCAAACCAGAGTTTAATCCAACCTCAATAAAGTTCAAAATCCAGCTTGTGGCAGTGTAAGTGCTGTGTTTGTGTCCTAAATGATTTTAGTTTGTTGTTCTTTATGTGTTTTTTTTTAGTAAAGGGTCATTCCATGTCAATGACTTTAAAAAGATGGCAGCATCATTATTATATTTTTACATGGAGATTGTTGAAACTGGAATCATTTGTTGTTAAGATATTTATCTTTATAAGAAAAAAGTGTCAGCTGTATACAAAGTGACCCTCATTTGGTTTTCAATCACTAAAAATGTGTGCAATTGACCAATTCTCTTATGTAGCCACATTAACATGTACATATCTCTGGGATTCAACCATCAAGGGCCTTTAAAATAAATATAAAAAAAACAAAAGGTTTATTATTAACAACCATTATCTTAAAGGATAGTAAGATACCTCTTTGAGACTTGGGGCAAAAAACACAAGTGCTTTTCCCCATTTTTGAGCTGTCAATGTTGGCATATAGTGCAACAAAAATTTGAGAAACTTTGAGCCAGGGTCCTCTGGATTAGTTGACACAGAATGGCCCTAAAATGAATCAATTAATGGTTTTTGTTCTCCTTTGTAGGAGCTACATTCCTGAAGTGAGAATCATGTCCATTCCTAACCTGCGTCATATGAAGGCAAGCTTGGTTCATGCTGGAACACTTGAATGAATATATGCTCTATATAAAATAAAATAAATAAATAAACACCATATGCCTGGTTACACTTTTTTGAAGAAGTTACAGACCTTTTTACTTTTGTAAGTAATTGTTGTATTTTCTTTAAATACAGGAGAGTCAGGTTTTGCTGACCCTGACCAACCCAGTAGAGAACATTACCCATGTGTCTCTGTACACCTGTGAGGAGGAAGACCCAGATGATATTAACAGCAATGCTAAGGTAAAACGCCACAGCTGAATTATAGTCATCAGCAGTGTATTTGTCCAATAATGATGGCTGGTGGTTGGTTATTTGAATTATATAATTGTCCTTCCTTTTCTGGCTTGAGCTGAAACATTGCTCTAAAAACAAACACTCAGTTCAGTCTCCAAACAGATGTTGTTTACCTTGAGTGGGCCACTTCTGAGGAAATGATGCAGTCAGGGACGTGGGAACTATTTTGTGAGAGGGGGGGCCGGAATTTCCGAGGGCACATAAGGGGGGGTCTGTCGGCGTAACGCACCGTTTCAATATATTGGTAGGCTATTAAATGCATTTTCTGAGAATTTCAATTTCAATTTTTTACTGCAAATGTTGGAATTAATCCAGTCAACTTGTTGATTAAAACCATTGATTAAAATGAAAATGAAATACAATTTATAAAAAACGCAATTCTTTTAAAAAACATAATAAGTCAGAATTATGTCTGACCCATTCCAAACGTTTTCCTCCTATATGGTGATCAAGCACTGATGGACCGCTCCTTGATCCATCGGTGCCTTGCTTGAGTCACCATATATCGGAAAACAAAACGTTTTAAACATCAATAAAACATCTTCTGTTAACTAGCAGAGCATTAATTTAGTTCGTTTAAATAAGAGATCTAGCGCTAAAATGTTTTGTTTTTGAAATCAAGAGGAACGCTTGTTGCCGCTGCTGTCAGTGTTCTCTACAGTCTACAGTGTTCTCTGTGGCACGCAGTCTTCACTCGGACGCGCACTGCGCGCACTTCAATCTATCGCCGTTACGGAGACTCTTTTCATTCCGGTAAAATCACAAAATAAACGTGTCCTGTGCTTGATATAGACTGTAACCACTGATGAACATATTCTGTTTTGATGAGAGAGAAAAAAACTGGACCGAGGGCGGATTAGAACCCGCAACCTCCAACACTCTTGGCAAAAGATCTACCACTAGACCATTGAAACACTCAAATAAATTTTAGCGGGTCGATTGATTTATTTATGGGTTGAGCAAAAAGGCTGCACAGTTTGACAAGTTTGTACCCAGCACTTCCGAATGTGTCTCTGTGCCCAGCAAATTTCAAACTGACGCCCGTGCTTAGGTGAATTTAGGGGGCGGGGGGCGGCCGGGTGAGGGGGGTTGGCCGCCCCCCCTGTTCCAACGTCTATAGATGCAGTCATTATAGCCTCACCATCAATTTGCCAGAGTGCTTGAATTCACTGGCAGTGCCTCATTATTGCCTTGTGTTGTGTCCTCCTATGGTTTGTTATATAAAATATGATTCTTTAATAGGTACTGGTGCCCTCAAAGGAACTGGTCCTGGCAGGGAAAGATGCCGCCGCTGAGTATGATGAACTGGCTGAACCTCAAGGTTTTCAGGATGACCCAGAGTAAGAACCACTGTTGCTGATGATACTGAGAGCAGATAAACAATTGAGCTCATAAATTATCAAGATGAGATTGCTGTAATACAGAGTCAGAAGGACAGACTGAGAATAGGTTATTTATTGATTGATCAGTAGGTCTGCATGGAATCTGCTTTGAATTTAAATGTCATAGTTCTTTGTTAAAAATTAAAAATCATTAAAAATCTCTGTTTCGAGGGCTATGAAGTCCTACCCCTCGATCTCAACAAGAATCGGGACACCCTACCCCTAGATGTGAACGCGAAAATAGAAGGGGTGAATTGGGATTGAGCCTTAGTATTCATAATGACACACTGTGGTCTTAGATCACGTAATTTTCATAACTTGTCTTCTGAAAGTTTTTTTTTTTGAATCGGTAGTTTAAACAACAATAGAATCTATTGAACATACTGTACTTATATCACTCGCATCCTTGTTTTCATTCCTGTCAAAAAATAAATTGGCTTTACCCTGGCAAATGTCTATTAAAGATCTATTAACAGTGTTTGTATCATACCATTGATTACCACAGAAAACATTTTTTTAAAGCAAACTTAAGGCACTTACCATAGATGGTAACCTAGGTCAGGATTGAAATGTTTTTGGTTTGACACAAATATGAGCTTCACATGAATTATTCAGCAAAACTTAGTTCACAATCTGAGCTCTAAAGTTATCTGACCGTTCTTTTTTGAAGTGGGAACACTTTTCTAGGTGAATGAACTATAGAAATTGATTCCTGTGCAAGTGCTCTATACTTAAAAGCAGCAGGTACAGGGTGGGCAATATCGGGGTCTATATATATGTTCTTAAAAGCAGCAGGTACACGCCAAAATGATTCTCTGCGGTAATCAATATTATGATTAAATGGTGTTAATGTTGAAGAACTTGCGTTAAACATGAACATTTAAGTTTTCAGCTTAAAGTTGTAGGCAGTAGAAGTCAAGAAGCCTTGCATTTAAGCCATTATGTCTACTTCAAATCATCTTATATCAGTGGTTCCTGTGTTTTTACCCTTCATTGATAACAGTCTGCTCTTTTGTTCAGTGTGGTGGCCTTTAGAAAGTCAAACAAGATCGGCTTCTTCATCAAAGTGATTCCACAGATAGAGGAGGGTGATGTCACCGTTTCTTTCAAACTCCGACATGACTTCCGGAACCTCGCTGCTCCGATCAGACCCGCTGAGGAGGGGGACGCCACCAGTGAGGCCATCTGGCTCACACACCATGTGGAGCTTAGCTTGGGCCCCCTGGCAACTTGAAAACATAACACACTCGGACGCAAGTAAAACATCATGTGACACTAAACTCACTCACAAACTTACACAATCTCTCTCTTGCTCATAAAGATGTTCATCCTCTTGGTGAAGTGAGTGTAAATGTTATCACGCGTCACTTATAGGAACACAGTTACTTTGCAGTACACACACTACTCCTACACACGAGTCAGATGCTTTGAGCAGTGATCTCTTTCTAGCGCCCCCTGCTGATGTATTTAAATGCATGCGATCAAAGTAACGTCACCTACTGTTATATCTCAGCTTCAACTCGTTATTCTCAGTGTTAATAAGACATTTAGATTAATGCTTCAAGTTATTGTGTTAATTTAATATTTTGTATTTGCTGTAAAACAAGCAAAATGTTACTTGCAGTTTGTGTGGCACTGTTAGAAAGTGAGACAGACATTGTTTATGAAACATGCTAAATTTTGTGGTAATTCAGGGGATGAACATCAGTGCATTCAGCTTTATTTATCTGTCTCGTATAGTAGCCGGAAGTCCTGATTTAGTTTCGATTATAACAGCCTTAAAATGTGGTTGAGCAATCTTATCAAATAAAATATGACAAAAGTCATGGATCTGGGCGTGCTTTATTATCATCATCATTACTATTAATTGCAACATAACATTGTTAACAATAATACTATTAGTTATTTTCATTAGGATTAATAGTTAAGCAGGGCTATTATTAAGATAAGCAGAGAAAACTTATAAATACTAAAAAAAAATTAACCTTATTTTTTAAATTTACAATTAAAAATGTTATTTACAGGAACATCCTTTCTTTTTAATGTAATAAAATTAGTAGTATTCAATCATTATTTACTCATCTACATTGCAAATGCAACTTTTGCGACATTTTTTTATTCAATTAATTTTCTGAATACTTATTTAAATTATACTTATCTGAACACTGAAAATGAATAAGTTTTTTTAAACTTTACAGAAACAGTTTTATTTTAATATATATAAAAAATCAATATAATAAAAGTGAATAGGGACTAGCTGAAAAAATCCAGACTGTAAATAAATAAATAAATATATCATAGCTAATAGCAAGAATCCACTGGTGCATGTGACAGTTTTGTTATGTTATGTTTGTTACATTATGTTAAAAAGAACAACATTTCACTAGCTCTTTAACCCTCAAACCGTATTCATTTTATAGCCCTTAATCCCGTAATTGTGGACAAAAGTGGGCACAGAGGACTCAGGTGTGATCCTAATTTTTATGTATTATAAATGTTATATCACTGTCTTCGATAAAGTTTTGTCTATCCATTTTTGGTGTTTTTTTTAATTTTGGGGGTATTTTGGAATTTATATACTTCAAAAAGTACCATATTTTCTATGTAATTTATGCTTATTTTTATGTTTTAATTTTTAATTTTTTTTAAATACATTAAAATATCATTCCAATAAGTTCTTAGAGCTAAAATCTAAAGATGAAGTGACTTTGCTGTCACCTGGTGTCTTATTTTGGTATTAAATTATCCAAAAAAACAATAATATCAATAGTAACTATATGGCTATAGTACTTAATGGCTGCATATAGGCTTAACTCTATGAACCACTGTATAAAATGAATTTGACCTCTTAAGTTTTTTTACCATCACAAGTTAAAATTGTAATTTAAAAAAAAAGATATATCTGTGTTAGGTGAGACTATACAAAGATGCCAAAATATGCTTAGATAAATATAAACATGATATAAGAAAAAGGCAAAGTAGTAGATCATTTATCATTCATTTCAAACACGAAACATCACTGCAAGTTTAGGTAGCAAAAAAAAGCCCAGCTCTGTCTTAGGCTCATTGAATGCATTGTGTGTGTGTGTGTGTGTGTGTGTGTGTAAGAGAGCGGGTGAGTGAGAGAGAGAGAGGGTGATGAGCCAGGTGGATGATTGGATCATACCAAAAAACATGGTCAGACATTAGCCCAGCTCTGTCATATGCTCACTGAATGCATTGTGTGTGTGTGTGTGTGTGTGTGTGTGTGTGTGTGTGAGAGAGCTATCACACACACACACACACACACACACGCACACACACACGCGCACACCCACACACACACACACACACACACACACACACACACACACACACACACAATGCATTCAGTGAGCATATGACAGAGCTGGGCTAATGTCTGACCATGTTTTTTGGTATGATCCAATCATCCACCTGGCTCATCACCCTCTCTCTCTCACTCACCCGCTCTCTTACACATACACACACACACACACACACACACACACACACAATGCATTCAATGAGCCTATGACAGAGCTGGGCTAATGTTTGACCATGTGTTTTGGTATGAATGCATTGTGTGTGTGTGTGTGTGTGTGTGTGTGTGTGTGTGTGTGTGTGTGTGAGAGAGAGAGAGAGAGAGAGAGAGAGAGGGTGATGAGCCAGGTGGATGATTGGATCATACCAAAAAACATGGTCAGACATTTGCCCAGCTCGGTCATAGGCTCATTGAATGCATTGAATGCATTGTTTGTGTGTGTGTGTGGGTGTGGGTGTGGGTGTGGGTGTGTATGTGTGTTTGAGAGTGTGTGTGAGAGAGAGAGAGGGTGATGAGCCAGGTGGATGATTGGATCATACCAAAAAACATGGTCAAACATTAGCCCAGCTCTGTCATATGCTCACTGAATGCATTGTTTGTGTGCGTGTGTGTGAGTGTGTGAGTGTGAGTGTGAGTATTTGCCATGATGAGAATGTTGTACAGGATCAGCCCTTCATTTGTGTGTATGTTACATATGCATTGTATTGGATCTAATAATTTATTTTTACAAAAAAACAAGAAGAGTGCTCTAAATTGCAGTTTTTCCCATTCATTTCTATAGGGTGCCCATTTTTGGGCAAATACGGGATTAAGGAGTTTTTTTTTTTCACCCACTTAACATTGTAGAATAAAGTCAAAAAAAATTGAGTGTGTACTGGAGGCAAACTTAGGAAAAGTAGCCAAGTCTTGTACCGCTCAGATCAAGGAAAGTATTTTTAAAAAAATAATTAAAACTAATTTGCCCAAATTTGTCCAGAATACGGTTTTAGGGTTAAACCATCTTGAATTGGCATTTCAATGAACAACAATATTTCTTCCTTGCGTCCTAAAAAATAATTTTGGGTCTTTAATAAAGGAAATTGGGATGCGGAATTATTGAAATGAGAGACACCCAAAAAATGCGGTCAAACAGTTAAAAGAAACGTTACAATATATAATAATTTTATGATAAAATATCCAAAAATCACTTGCACAGTGTGATAGATTTCCTGCGATCGTGTAGGCCTACTTACAATATCCCAAATATATACAATATATCCCAAATATATACAATACAATACAATACAATACAATATATACAATATCCCAATATTCCCAACTATTTTTCAGTTGTCGCCTGTGACTGTAATTGACCGTGTTATCGAGCATAGTAACCAGACGTGGACAACAGCTGCAGTTGTTTCGTTCAAACATTATGGACCATAGCAGGCAGACTTTGGGACAGCAAGCGCATTATTAGATCCATAAGTTTGACGACAAGTTCCATAATTCAACTGGAATTTTGCGTCATCAACCTACGCCTTTGTTATTGTAGGAGCTTAGCGACACCTAGTGGCGAAACAACATTTACATATTGTATCACTAGAAGGAACGATTATCAGAAGTAGTTATCGGTCTGTTTTTCATACAAAGAAATCGTATGACTACAGAAGACTTGGAATAAGCTTACACCTCTAATGGGTTACTTTATATTATTAATGGTGTTTTTGAGTCTTTTCCCAGCCCAAATTCACTGTCATTATGTTTAAGAGTTACCAGGATATTCTTCAAACATTCATGTTTTGTTCCGCAGAAGAAAGGTTTGAAATTACATGGTAAGTACATAATACATTAAAATGGTTACATTTTTTTCTTGTAATATTCATTCAATATGTGAGGCTGTCCACTAGATGGCAGTCTACCCCCGGTAAAATATTTCCTCTCAATATTTGAAATTTCACAGTCAACAGATATGACTGTCAGATAATATGATCTGTATATATTTTACCTGACACAATGTGTTATGAGTTGATATTATTATTCATCATCAAATTAAAAGCTTTAGCTTAAAAAACAACAACAAAAATCACTTGCACATTGTGATACATGTGGCTATAAAAAGACTACTTACAGTGTTTAGAGGTCCATGCTAATATGAAAATACTTTCAGAGGCCTGAATGTGCACTTAATGAGCAAAGCCAAGAATATATTTATGCTACTTAGTTAATGGAACGATTCAGAACTGTGAGCCTGTACTGTCTGGGAAAACATTTACCGGTCTGTAACACATTACACAGTATCCCACAGTGTGTTCAGCATAATGTTATAGTTCTTGTGCCCTTACTTAACACACACCGTTACATATACTGCACACCTGATTATGATATTTTACAATGGTGACAAAGTACGGTCCTAGTGTAATGCTTCTAACAGTCTAGCAATTGTGCCGGGGAGTCTGGATCTGAAAATAAAGCGAGCTTTAATGGTAATTGGCAGACCTCTTTGTTTCTCTGCACTGTTGATATTGGCATGTACTTGCAGTTGCAGTAGATGATGTGGATATGGAAATCTAGACTTTTTTATGTTCATTTTTTGGAACTGTAACCAGATGTGTTTTGTCTTCATGCTTCACAGATAATCATCTTAAACTATGGCTCTATTAAGAAAAGGAAGCTGTAGCTTCCATGTAAGACACGTTCATTTTTCTTCATAGGCACGTCTGCCTTAGCCAGCAAGGCCAAAACGTTTTATATGTTGATTGTTCTGTGTCTTTAGAGGAAGAAAGATTAAAAGTATCTCCCGGTCTTTCAAAAGAAGTTAGAGAAAAGAAAAGTTGTAGTTTATGTTTGGTCACCTCTATGTCAAACATACAGCAAATACATGGGATGACGCATGATAGACATTTGATTACTATTTTTCCTGGTCTTTGACTGAGCCTGGGTTCTTCCAAGGTTTTTTTTTCCCCCATTCTGTCCCTGAAGGGAGTTTCGGTTCAATGCCACTGTTTTGCCTTTGCTTTTGGATTGCTTAGTTGAGGAAATTTAATATTCAACAATATTATTGATCTGCCTTACTTCAGGTGGACTATGACACAATTTTCTTCTAGAAACAAACTTTGTTGTATTATTTTCATGTTATCATGTGACTTGACTTGACTTTGACTTCCATAATTTTTCCAGCTTCATGTTTCCATCAGTTGTGTAGTTTTTATTAATTTTTACAGATCTATATGTGGGTAGTTGACACACAACATGTCCATAACATTTTTAATCAACTATCAACATCATGAATTTATTTATTTTTTTGTTGGTGCTGCTGTGACTAAACACTGTATGATTAAAAAACCATATGGACACGTTATGAATTCATTATTATCATTATTATCATGATGTCTTTGTCTTACTAATTATTTAGTGCAGAGCACAATTTCTTTTTCAAATTTTCATTTATTTATTTATTTTTTTTTAAATAATTTTACTATTTTATATATATATATAAAGGAAACATATTCTAGGTCATATAAT